TTTTTTTTTTTCCTGTAATTTATTTTATTTTATTTTATCCTTTTTTTTTTATTATTATTTACTTTTCGGTTCGGGAAGTGGCGTGGTGCAAATACAATGATGTGTTATGACATAATAATCCGCAGTTTATTACGTAATCCCTGAACGAACTTGTTTCCACAACTTTTAATTCCATAATTCAGGGATATTGAACAATGGACAATCCTTATAAAAAAAATTTCCAATATATAAAATATATAAATGCATTCTTAACTATTTCATGTCCTTTTTATGTCTTTTTGTGGGTAATATTTCATTATATTTGCTCATATTTGCTCGTGTTAACGTGTTTTAAGTTATCATCATTTAATACCTTTTTTAAATAATGAATTTTAGTTATAAATATGACTACTTTTTCCCATCAAAGATCCACATTCCTATATTCCTTCTCCCCTAATCTCTTCCAATTTTCCATATTTTTCCACATCATAAAAAAAAAAAAAAATTTTTTTTTTTTTTTTTTTTTTTTTTGAAACAATCATTTATCACACAAACTATTTTTTTACCACCCTTATATAATTTAATCATCGCTTTACTTCGCTAACTTTTTTAAATAATAGATTTTTTTACGCCCAAGGATCTAGAATTTAGATTGTTCTTTTTATTGTATTTAAATAAACCTTGTTCCGAAACAATTACTAATGTTAAACAGTTTCTTCTATATGTAACCATTTCGTTACATTGTTACATTATGTTCTATTACCGGTTTTTATAATTTGGATTCAAGAATAAAGTTTTTTTGTTATCTATTTATTATTTTTTTCATATGCAATATGTAATGTACTGTGCTGTATGTATGATGAAATTTATGTCAACGAAAGAACAACGAAACCCGCTCTTTTTTCTTTCTTTCTTTCTTTCATTATCAATAAAAATGCAGATACCACATTAAAATGAAATTATTATTATTATTTTTATTTTTTTATTTTTTTTTAAAAAAAAAAAGATTGATTCGAAGTGTATATCCCCCCGAAAAAGGAGGGAAAGTGCAACAAAAAAAAAAAAAATGCGATTAATTAAACAAAAAAGGTTCTTTTTTTTTTCTTTCTATATATTAATTGCATTATTTACAAATTATTGACTTCATCATTTTAATATATGGTAAAGTGGCACTTTTTAAAATTCATAAAAAAAATGATCAAAGTTTTCTAATTAGCCAGATACATTAGTAAAATTAATAAATTTTCCCCGTGTAAATATGATAAAAATTCCTTATCTGTTTATATTGTTTTGTTTCTTTTTTTTCTTTTCTCCCTCCCTTATCAGCAAACTAGCTTATATTAATAATTTATGCAATGCATTCCAAAAAAAACTAGTTTTTATTCCGTACCTGTAAATAAAAAAATCTTTTTTCAAGTACAAATTTGGGATTTTGTGATTATTTTATTAGTTCTTTTATTATTAAAAATTTTATTATTATTTTTTTTTTTATTTATTTTTTATTTTTATTTTTATTTCTTTGCATTATTATTTATTTATTTTTAATTATAAATTTATTACATATCTCTAAATGATGCAATATTATCAACATTTATTTGCATAATTTAAATGTATTTTTCTTTATTATTATTATTAATTATTTTACTTTTACTATAAATTACATTTTTATGGAAAATATCTCCCATTGTTTGACAAAAAATGATATATATATTATTAAAATATCAATGGTATTTACCCGATTTACTTGCATCTTTTTTTTAATTGTATAACATTATAGTTTATTAATTATATTGTATATATTTACTAATTATTTAGTAATTTGTTCTTTATAAATTGATTAATATTTTGATTAATTCATATAAATCAAAGAATATTAACTATTATTATTCTTTAAAAAATCAATTTTATTAAAATTTTCATAATATTTCTTTATAAATTATTTTTATTTCATTCTCATTCTATTTTTCCAATTAATTAAATATTTTAATTACTTATATAAAAACTTTTATTGCTATTAATTGCTATTATTCTTCTTTAAAGAAAATCAATTTTATTACAATTTTTATAATATTTTTTCATAAATTAATTTTATTCCAATTTCCTAATTATCTAAAACTTTTATTAAAATTTCCATATTCTTTTATTAAAAAAAAAAAGAAAAATAAGAATAAGTGTATTAAATTTTAAAAAAGTATTAAGGATTGTTGTTAAATATGTAAATAAATTTTCTAATTCATTTCTATCTAACAATACTACATTATAATTATAATACTTTTTTTAAAAAAAAACGTAATTGTTTTAACATAAATTATAAATCAAATGAATGAACTTTTGGAAGTAATTCTATAAAAAAACTAATCAAATTAAATCATATAAAATTCAATCAACATATATTATTGATATAAAAATACAGTTATAGTTTAATTAATTTAACATTATATAGTATATTATTACTAACTATTAAACTAATTATCATTTGATACAACTTTTTTGTATATTGTAATAATTTTACTTTAAACAAAAAAAATTAAAATCTTTTAATATAAAAATAAATAAATTTACAATTCACCATCTTAATAAAAGTAATTCATTTCTGATTGTGAAAAAAACTATATAAATACTTCATTTTTTTAAATTACTATTCTTTCACTTCTAGTATAATATTTAATTAAACATTAAAGAAATTATCAGTTTTTTTATTAAAAATTCTAAAGAAATACATTTTACTATAATATTATTATAATAATATTACAAATTTTCAATGGAATTGTATATCTTTTAATAGAATAATTATATTATTAAAAAGTTAAATATTTGATCGTCTGCATTATAGTATTAATTAAAATAATTTATTAATGAATAATTTTACATTTTTAATCTTATAAAATAATTTATAAAATATTTATTTCTTACTTTTATTAATTATTTTTAATTATTTATATAAATAATTTAAACTATAAAGTGATTAATAAAATAAAATTAAAAATTTTAATATTTAAAATAAAGCTCCAAACATACAGTTTGGTTCAGTTTCATTTTTTGGTTCTTTTTTGATTGATCAGAATTTGTTTTGCACGATAATTTACCTTTCAGTAATCACAAAAAGCCAATCAATAGCTCATTAGAATTATCTTATTGAGACAGTTTGAATGGTTCTAAAATCATCTTTATAGCAGGCGAATTAATTTTGCCAAATTTTCAAAAAATAACTTACTATTTATCAATACTAGGAAGATGATTTTAGTACCATTCAAACCATCTTGATGAGACGATTCCAATAAGCTATTGATTGGCTTTCTACGATCATTGAATGGTGAGTTATCACGCAAAACAGATTCTGATCAATTAGAAAAGAACTGAAAATGGAACTAAACCAAATCATTCAGAATTTTAATCTAGAATATATTAAAAATTATCTTCTATAATAAACAACTTTATAATTTATTTAATAGTTAAAATTATATTTGAAATTATTATTTTTTTTTTTTGCAAGGTAGTGCAATTTATGAGTTTATTAGTTATATAGAATTACAGATTTTTTTGCTATAAGCATAACTAATCTATTAAAACTCTGAACCGGTTTTCCATCCTATAGATTGCTCCTGTGCTCTATCTAGTTATCATCACTAATATGAAATTTACCTATATCCTCCTATAGTAGCTATCAAATTATATAGGATCATTATTATTCTATGACTTCAGTATGTATTTTCACTACCCTCTAAACAAAAAGGACAATTATATGTATATTTATACATCTTGATATTATTGTATATCTTCCAAATTACCCTATTTTCTTCTCTAATAAACTGATTTATATACTGTCTTATTTTCTCAAGAGAAATTAACCATTGTTCATTATGTTTGAGAATTTTCCTTCCTTTTAAATCATATGTATCACCTTTTATTTGCTAAGTTGGAGTTCGTTCATATGCAATATGTTGATGTGCTGGTATTTTTTTTTTAGGTCTTATTTCTTGATCTCTTTTATGCATTTCCATTCTGTTACTAGGTTGCAATGTGGTTGCCAAATGATTCTATAAAATTCATTAATAAAAATTTCTAAAAACAGAGTAGTAATTGTTAGTATAGCTTTTTCTGACTTAACAATGGATTTGAATTTTCTATATTTTTCTTTTAGAAAGAAGTTCCTTAACATCAAATGTATAAAAGGAATAGGTAACTCCTGATTTGAATCTGTAATATAAACAAAAAAGTTCCTATTCCATGACATCAATTGTTATATGTCCTCTTGATTTAATTAGAGATAATTCTCTTGTGAAAGCAAGTCTTTAAGTATTTGATCACATTCATATCTAGTATTATTAGCCACTGTTAGCTACTTGTCTCTAAGTTGTTAACAATAGATTATATAATTATCATCTTCATTTTCTTTAAAATACATCCTGCACTTTACATCTCCATATAGATCATATCTCCTTTCTTTCATAATCTCTAAAGTTGGTAGCAAATTGTTTGTGAGTTTCAAGTATTTGATGAATCTGTTATTTATTAATAATAATGTGCAGTTAAATTCTGTATTTTTTTTAAATAATGCCCATGTGACTTTCTCTTCTATCATATGAGTTGTGTCTTGAAAAATTGTTTTATGTGCGTAATTGAAAGACCATGCTGCCTCTAATGCTGACTCACATAAATTATCTATAAATTTCCTAATGTCTTTTACCATCCCAGTATAAATCATATTTTAAGTTTTTTTGTTATGAGTCATTAATTATAATACAAGTTAATTTTTCCATATCACTCTTGGCCACTCTGTCTGCTTCTTCATTACCTTGACTCCTGAGTGACTTTTCACTTTTATTAGTTTTAACTCTAAGTGTTTGCTATCAATAAGATTAATTATACTACTAACTACACTGTAGTTACCATATAGTTCCAAAATTAAGCAACCTTTTTTATTATAGAGTTGCTTAATTTCAGGGTAGTTTTTTTTTTGAATAAAAATCTGAAAAATCTGAAAAATCTGAAGAAAACTGTGCATTTAAATAATCAAATATATGATCTGTATAATATTGTGATCTATAAATCAGCCGCGCATTCTTGTTTCTCATGTTTCAGTTAAAATTTACTACACAGTATGTCACAAAAAAAGAGAAGACATATTAGCACCACTAAAGAAATAGTTGTTAAGAATTACTGTAATTTGGAACAATTTGCATAATTAATGTTTATAATACTTAATAAAATTGTCCATCATTTTGAAGTGTTAAGTGATTTTAGCAATATTAAATGTTTCTTTATTACGTTTATTACCTTTTTATTACAGAAGTTCGTGAGTTTCTTATTTTCGGAACTATAATAATTGGAAGGTTGCTTATTTTCGGAGGTTACTTAATTTTGAAACTATACAGTATTGCTTTTACACCATATTCGTATTTATTTGAAATTATTATAACTTTTTAACCTAAATATATAAACTATTAGTAAGTAATTGCAAGAATAATAGTATATCAGAAAAGAATCATAAACCTGATTCTTTACTGATTTTTTACTAATTTAGCTATTTTATTATACTAATGACCATTTCTGGTTTTTTGCAGATTCTTATTTTAATAGATTCTGAACAATATCAATAAATTATACTTTATTAATATCAGTAAAGAATGAGATATTATAAACTATTATATTACAAATAAATTAAGAATAAAATTAAATAATAAAAGTAAATCAAAATAATTAAACCAAAATACTATATTATAAACCAAAATTAAACTAGAAAGAAAAATAAAGGAAAAATAAAAGTAAAGTAAAATAAATTTACTAATAAATAATTAATTAAAAAGTTTTTTTTTTTTTTTTTTTAAAAAAAAAAAATATTACTCCAGTAATTTTTTGCTTATGTATTATGTAACCTTATCAAACTTCTTCTTTATTGGAATCCAATCTTTACATATGTATTTCTTTATAAAGGTATCCATTGATTTCTTTACCATTGGAATTGCCTTTTGTACTCGATCTGCTTTTCTTATTTGTATATCTTTTGTTTTATCTGAAGGTTGATTTAAGTTGTCTTTTATTTTGGATTCTGAAGTAATTTTATCTGTTCGAGTAATGCCTTTTCTTTTTTTCCATAAAATGACTTGTTCACATCTTGATTTCCATAATAATTCTTGGCATTTAATTTGCTTTATATATCTAAATATAAATGTAAGTAATTTAATTATTTTTATATAATTATTATAATGCAATTATCTTGACTTCTAGTAATCCAATTTTAATAAACTTTTTTTTTAATTTATAGCTCTCATTTAGCTCTACAAATCTAGCTTTACAAAACAAAAAAAAAGTTTGTTCAAATTGAATCATTAGAAGCCAAGATATTTGTATTTACATTATAATAATTATTATAATGCGATTATCTTGACTTCTAGTGATCCAATTTTAATAAACTTTTTTTAATTTATAGCACTCATTTAGTTCTATAAATCTAGCTTATAAAATAAAAAAAAAGTTTGTTCAAATTGAATCACTAGAAGCCAAGATAATTATATAATACTAATTATTATATATCATATTTAATATTTAATAGTAATAATTTTATTAGCCAATTAGATTTCAATCAGGTAGGGGTGGGGGTTAAGGCTACTAATTGAGAGAAATCAGCTGATTTCTGGCCCCTAAAGATATACTCTTATAATGTTTTGTTCAAAAATATTAGCTGTAATTCAAAAAAAATGCTATAACACAAAATTTTTATATACTGTAATTAATTAAGACTATAAAAATCTTATAGCTGTAATTCAAAATTTTTTAAAAAATAATTAAGGTTAACATCTTTAGTTTTGTTAAAATTTAGAATAAAAAAACTAAAATTTTTACCTTTGAAATAGATAACTGAAAAGATAAAAATTAATAAAGAAAAGAAACAAATATTAATATTAACTATTAACATTTTATTAAAATTTAAAATAAAAAAAATTGAAGTCTTATCTTTGAAATGGATGATCAGAAAGATGGGAACCTACAAAAAAAATGAGATAAATATTAGTATTAATATTTCATTAAAATTTAAATAAAAAAAAACCTGGTTTTTATATCTTTAAAATAGATGACTGAAAAGGTAAAAATCTATAAAAGAAAAGAAATGAACGTTAGTATTAATATTTCATTAAAATCTAAAATAAAAAAACTGAAGTTTTTTTATCTTTAAAATGGATGACTGAAAAAGTGAAAACTTACAAAAAAAAAGAGACAAATGTTAGTATTATTGTAATATTTTGTTAAAATTTAAAATAAAAAAATTGAGGTTTTTTTTTTCAAAATGGATGACCAAAAGGGTGGGAATCTACAAAAAAAAGAGATAAATATTAGTATTAACATTTTATTAAAATTCAAAATAAAAAAAAACCAGTCTTTATATCTTTGAAATGGATAACTAAAAAGGTGAGAATTTATAAAAAAAAGATGAACATTAGTATTAATGTTTTATCAAAATTTAAAATAAATGAAATAGTCTTCTTTACCTTTGAAATAAGTAACTGGAAAGACAAATATCTATAAAAAAAAGAGATAAATATTAATATTAACATTTTATTAAAATTTAATAAAAAAACAATATTTTGAAGTTTTACCTTTAAAATGAATGACCAGGTAAAAGAAATTGAAGTTAAATCAACCTCAAAAATATATATATAGTATATATTAAAGATTAGCAGCTGATTATTAAACTTATTGATCTATTAGCATTCCAAAATAAATGATAAATTGATTTCTACTATATTTTACTGATACTTTTTATTAAGTTATTACAATATTAGATTACTGATAATTGTATTAAATTTCAATAATATATTTTTTAAGAATTGTATTATAATCATTAAAACATTAGTGAAATATTAGAAACTGATATGTGTATGATTTTTAAAATGGTTAATCAGTACTATATTAGAATCCTAATATTCATCTGATTGCTTATATCCTAATATCTCATCATTCGACCAGTATAAATTTAGGATTCTACTTACTTATAATAAAGGTCACTGTAAAAAATTGAACCTTTACTAATGATTTTTACCTTATTTTTTTCTTAAATTCTATTTGTTAATAGTATAGCAATATAACATAAAATTTCCTTTTATCCCTTAAACTGTTTTGCGAGCAAATTTGCCCGCAATTTCTAAATTAGAATAAATGACGCTATAAAAAATTCTTTAATTTTGGCCAGATCGTCACATAATTTTGCAGCCAAATTGATCTACATTCTGGCCATAAATTGTATGAGTTAGATATACAGTTGATCATTAAAATTGGATTGGAAATTAACCTGCAAAAATAGTATCGGAATTTTTATATAATAAAATTTAAACTTTTCTTACCATATTTTTTCTCTATTTGAATATTTATTATAACTTTTTATTTTTATTATAAAAATTTTGCATTATAATAAACAAAATAGAGATAAAAAAAATCAATTGTTATGAATTTATAATTAAAATGCATAATAAAATTTTCATTAAGGTTCTATATAAAGTTAAAATCCTACTTTTAAATATCAAAAATCATATTAACAAAAGTCGTTTCTCATACCAAATTCTACATATTCTATTAAGCTTTTATATAGCTACAATTAATTATCAATGAAATCGTCGAAGTTAAGTGCAAAGTTTTTTAAAATTTTGTGATTATCTTAAAATACAACTTTTGACCAATGGGTAATTTTCGATTTTCTAATATATAATTAATAAATGATAATAATTGCTGCACAATATATAATTTAAACTATTTTGGAAAAAAATTTTATTAAAATTGCTTTATTTTTCATAAAATTAGATGAGAGCTGAAATTTGGTAAAATTGCGGGCAAATTTGCCCGCAATTGCTTGCAGTTTAAGGGATAATAAAATCTGCAAAGAATTTTATATATGATTTTTAACTTAGGTCTAGGGGTGACCTATCTTATAAGTAAGCGGGATTTTGTAAATTTTCAATTTTACTATAAATTTAATTTTTATTTATTTTTAAAAATATTTATATTATTTAAAAAATTTTTTTTGATTAAATCAATATATATATTAGAAAATTTTTATTTATAACTTCCCATTAAATTCATAGGATGATTACTGTGACATATTATTATTTATTTTATTATTATATTACAATATATCAAAATTAATAATTTACAATATAATTATTGAAATTAGTAATATAAATAAGTATAGTAAATATTAGTTAATTACTGTTAAATTATTGAGTTATTTTACATGTTCTAACATTATGACCAATATTACCACATAATATGCAACAATAATCTCTATTTATAGCTTCTTTGTTTTTACCTTTCAACTATATTATTTAACATTTCAATTCATTTTTTTAAATTTTATATCAAAATATTTATTAACATTTCGAAATTTTTTATTGAAATGTTAAAGTGTTTCGAATTTTTAAATTCTTTTTTATTAAAATTTTAATAAATAATTTGAATTTTATATTTTAAATAAATAAAAAAAAAAAAATTTATTTCTGTGACAATTTTCTTGGCTCCTTTTAACAATTATTTTCATCTATTTATATAAAGAATTTAATTAAAAAATTTAATAACAATATTAATGTAAATACCTTCAACATCAATTCTTAAATGGATTCTGGAAGATCTTTAAAATCTAAAATTCTACTTGTATAAATTGCTTGAGGATGTATAGTATATGAGAGTGTATCAGTATTTGCTGTTAATGATGGTAAATTTTTATTAATTTCTTCAACTTCTTCAACTTGTTTACAGATCTCAGTATTTTCGTTATAAACAATTTCTCTCTTATAATCATAAAATAATCCAATCACTTCATCTGCTATAGGTCGTTTTAGAGGGTCATGATCTTAATCCTTGACAAATTTTAATAGCTAAGGTTCTGTCATGAGCAATATCATGATAAGGGGGTAATCCTATACAGAACTTCATATGCAATGATTCCAAATCCATAAATATCACTTTTTTGAGTATATTCTTTTCCTCTTAAAACTTCAGGAGCTACATAAGGTAAAACTCCATACGTATCGTTATTTTGAGCATTCATTGGTCGACATAATCCCAAATCAGTAATTTCAATCCTTTGATTGGATACACTTATCATATTTCCAGAATGAAAATCACGATGAATTAATTCTCGTTTATAAGACCAGATGACATCCATTGCAACATATCCAACTTTAGAATCCAATTCAGTGAACTAAAATTCTTATCTAAATACTGTCTTAAACTACCATTTATCCCATGTTGCATTATCATCATATATTCATTTTTTTCTGGATTTTTAGTAATACCATAGCAGCGAATCACTTCGCGACTTCCACCTAAATTCGCAATAACATGTGATTCAACCTGAAAAAAAAAAAATCACGTTAATTCAGTGCTAATTCAATTAAAAAATCGGAGAAAAAAGATATTTTACTTCTCTTAAAAATTCGGCTATATTATCTTGTGAGTTATATATACATTTTAAAACAACACGTTGATTTCGATATCCCAATAACTTATATATCCTTGTTTCCACTTTGCTTTATAGACGGTTCCAAAACCTCCTTTAGTTAAATATTCACATTTTCGAAGTCATTGTATTCAACCCACTCTATAACTTCATTTCCAAGGTTAGCCTTTAATTGTATATTGTGAGTAAATTTATCAATTGCCACTAGTCCAATTTTCCAAATCTTCTTGAAATCGTTTATAATAACATGACCGACACCAATTAGCAGCATTTTTAGGTTGTTTACATCCTTTACATAATCCAAATTCTTTATAACGTTCTTTTATTTCTTCATTCAATATTAGTTTATCCACTAACAATTCTTGTTCTTCGGTTAAGCGGGAACGGGAGAAATCTTTTATTTGTTCATATGCATCATCGCTAATCTAAAAGTGTAGTATATAAGAGTGCATTAGTATTGGATTGAGAGTGTATTTGATAAAATGAGATGTTTATAGAAACTCTTTTTCAGATTGGCTATTACACTATAACGTAACGTCATAACGTGTAATAAGTACAATGAAAAAAGCCTTGATCATCATTTGTGATATTCTTTCATATTACTAATGTTTTTAACCATTCGATCTGGCGGCCAAACAGGTGTTGATAGGGCGACATTAGATGCTGCTTTGGATTACAATAATACTATCACAAAAGATAATGTAAAAAAGTCCTTCTTTATTCATGTCACCGGTTGGTGTCCGAAGGGACGGCTTGCGGAAGACGGTTCAATTTCATTACGATACCCACTCATTGAAACACCCACCTCATTATATTCTGAAAGAACAGAATGGAACATCCGGGATGCAGATGCCACTATGGTTCTGCTTTTGTCCACCACGACGCCACCTGATCATGGAACAAACTTTACAATTGAAAAGGCTAATCAACTTCAAAAACCATCAAAAATTATTTTTCTTGATGATAATATCATAACAAACATTAATGAGGTTCTTTATTGGATAAATGTCAATAAAATCAAGACGCTAAACGTGGCTGGTTCAAGAGAAAGTAATTGTTCCGGAATTTACATCAAAGCATATGAATTCGTTAGTACCTTGTTGGAGAAAAGAAGGACAGAAGAATAAAAAATTATATCGATACTATAAAATATAGAGTAAATACAAAATAGTACTCCTATTTATTTTACCTTTTGACACGCAAATATCTCGAAACATTAGTAAATTATTATATAAATTACAAAAAAATTAACACGTGAAATATTTTCTCATTATGTACCTAATTGTAATCCCTCACTTCCGGTTATTGAGTAGTAGTTTTCGTTTATAAACTTGTGGCTTTCAACCAAAAGTCTTTTTGACTTTTACATAAAAATCAATGTTCGATTCATCATCCACATTAACAATTATCATGTCGTTTATACCCATAGAAGGCATCAGATTTACTAGAGGATTTTTTAATAAAATTACACGAATTACTCTAAACAAGAGAAATGAAGGAATTAAGAACAGATTAATGTTTTCTAAACAAATTATAAGAATTTGAGAGACTGATTTGATCACGCAGCAAGTAAATTTCAATTACATTAGTGAAATTTATTTAGTGTCAATATATTCATTTTACATTATAATTATTTCTTCAATCAAAATTTCAATCTCAATAATAGAAATAATAGCGTAATACTACGTATCAACTAATGTTATGCTATCTTTAACTTCCCTCTTTTCTCCACCTTCGTCTTTTCCTCATACAGTCCAAAGAATCATTGAACAATAAACAATCATTCAATCATAATATAATCTCTTTTTTTTATCCAACAAATTTGAATGTACAATTTAATATGTTTCGTGGGAAATGGAAAGTGTGAAATAAATCCTAATTCGGCACTGATGCAAAAATCATAAATAATGTGATATCAGCTTTGATGTGATGAAAAAAACGCATTTTATAATTTTAAATTTACCTGGATCTTAAAAAAAGCAAGTGTTTTTCCCTTCAGTGGAGAAGCTATCCAATCTTTATAACGAAAAAAAAAGCTCTCAAATAAATTTAATACATAGAATAATTGAAAAGGAGTACTTTGGCGAGTGTACTTGTCATCACTTCATAAATTATTGGTTGAAAAATATGTTAGTACTTATAGCGTCAATTAATCTTCTAGCGGATTTCCCATAAGATGGGATTGGGAGAATCCCATATCTCATCCCATATCTCACTTATTCCATCCTATTTGCCATAATTCCATTCCAATCCCATATCCCATATCCCACCCCATATTCCATTAATCTCATTTTTTTATTTTTATTTTTATTTTTAAATCACAAAGCGAACAGAGTTACAGTAAAAATTACAAGGACCATAAACTAGAATCTAAAGTAACTTATATGACTTAAAACTAAAACCCGACTGACCCTTTCGTAATCAGGGAAAGATGCACGGGATCGGGATACACCCTTTCCCGAACATACGAGGAATTAATCTTATACTGGTGTATATTGTATAACCTTATTCCCATTGGTCTATTAATCACGTGACATTACATACACATCCAAAAAAAAAGGAAAATTTTCTTCCCACAAATGAGATTGTTTTACAAATAGGCCAAAAAAGGATATTCTTACGCCGATCATATAATTCCGGCCAAAATTACAGCTCTGGTATTACAGGGTTTAAATTTCCTATCTTATATACCCTAATTTTAAGAATCTATTGAATTGGTTTTTGATAAAATTTATATCATTGGATTCATCTTGGTGAAAGAAATTTAATGGTTGTAATTGATTGAGTATCATAAAAAAGGTATGTTTTATATTATAAAAATAAATTTTTGTGTTATAAAATTATAATAAAAATGTTTATAATAAATAATATAAAATATTTTAAAACTTTATTTTAATTTATCCATAAAATAATATTAATATCTATAAAAATAATAAAAAAATTATCTATAATAATAAATAATAAAAATAAAAAACTAATCCAAATTATCAAAACAAAACTATACTAAACAAAAAGCCATTAGTTAAAGTAAAAAAAATCATATTAGAATTAATTTATTAATTAGTATCAATATCTACAATTAATTACAAATTAACTATAAATTAGAAAAATCAATTCTATTTATAGCTAATTTTATGATTAGTGGCAGATACTTATATTAATTAGAATTTTACTTTTATGATTTATTCTACTTTGATAAATAAAAGAACTAAAAAAAATTTCAATTTTTTAATATAATTTATTGTTCTTTCTAATATTTAACAGAAAATGGCTTGGTACTTAATAAAAAGGGCTTAAAATTTAATAAAAATGACTTTGAATTTGATAAAAAATGGTTAGTATTTAACAAAGTAGCTTAGTATTTAACAAAAAAAAAAGCTTAGTGTTTAACAAAATGGCTTTGTATTTAACAAAAAAATGCTTAGTAATTAAAAATGGCTTGATATTCAACAAAAAAGGACTTTCTTTAGTCCAATAATTAATTAATTACAGATTATATGATAGCCCAACAGGATAATATTTACAAATAATTAAATATACAAAAAAATTATAAAGGGATAAAAAATGTTAAAATATTATATTTGAAAAATTTATATTAAAAAAAAATCATGCAGTTCATAAATATTTTTTATATGTTTAAATGGGATTTGGGATGGGATGGGATGGGACTCCCATCCCATTTATTTGGGCGGCAAGTATAAGCGGATCTAAGCGTAACGAAAGTCCAAAATGCAATTAGAAATCTATAAAAATATTTTCATGTTATTTTTTTGTATTGATTTAAAATTCTAATAATAAATCTTATGAAAGAAATCGGACCAATTTAGCAAAAGCACACAAATTCTGTCTTCTGAGTTCAAAGATCCTATCTTAATTATTTGAAGTTCGAAGATAGTGTTTAAAATTTTCAGACATACAAGAGTTGATGTATGTCATTTTCTAGAATTTTTGTAAGATTTAAAACCATACTAACAGATATTAAATTTGCAAAAGGAATTTGAATCAAAGCCAAAGATGGTTTTTAAAAATACGCGTTTTAACCATTTAAGGTGTTAACGTTAACAATACAAGAATCTATAATTTGTGATTATCGGTTCAAGTTGAATATTCTATAATAGCCGGGATGATTATTTCCTTATTAAAGATTTTATTAATTCAAAATTTGTCTATTTAAAATACGTTTATCATTTAAACTTCGTATGAAATAAATATATTATAATTATTCACGATATCTTACATTTATATATCATCATTAAAAATTTCCCTCCCCTAAGAAGTAGAAAACATTTCACAAAAAAATTATAATATCGACCGGATCGCAATGTTTTCGCTTAGTTGGCTAAGCCGCTGTTTAAGGCTTAGCAAGAACAAACATTAATTTACATGATATGTGTATGCACTCGTATAATGAGAAAAATGTTTTGACTGGCATATGCACCCATGACTGAAGGTTTGAAAATTTTCTTTGACCATTCATTTATTATTTTGGACATTTACGCCAAAGTTTCCATAGTTGGCAAATTTACTAATTGAAATTTAGTTAGATAAATGATCGGTTTTTTTTGTATAACGCTTAATTAAGAAAGTCTTAAATGTAAAATTAATGTTTGAATAAGCTTCTATAAGATTCTTTTTCAAAAAAAAAAAAATCACGTTTATTTTGATTGGTTTGTCCGTTCCTTCCAATGAACTATAAGCGAATAAGATGGAAGAATGAATGTTGTTGAGTACACTCTAAACAAATTTAGAATTATTGATATTATGTATTTATTAAAGTTTTTTATCAAATAGGAAATTAACTTGTTTTACTTTTTCCGCTAATTTTTTGTGCCAATAATCTTTTAGGTTTATTTAATTAACCTTTTCTGAAAATATCAAAATATCAAAATATGCAACCAAATCAAAATTGTTATAATCATAATGATACCATGTGTAATTCGGGCAATTCAGTCAATAAATGGCACCTGGACTGGATTTATAATCAACCGTAACCGACCCCCTGCAAAGACTTTTGTTTTTCTCACCTTCATTTTTCGTATCTTATCCAAAGAAACATGTTGTTAAACATACGTATATTATTATTGTTGTTATTAATACTTTCGCTTTTATCAATATTTTCTGTTGCTAAAAAGACTATTACGGATTTACTTTATGAAGATAAAAGATTTAGTAATTTAGTTAGAGCTTTACAACGTACTAGAATTCTTCACGAAATTAATCGTTATGAATCTGCAACTTTATTCGCACCTGTAAATGAAGCTTTCGAGGACGACCCTCTTATGACCAGAGAACGTATGTTATATCATTTTCTTATTGAAGAAATTAAAGGAGAAGAACTTAGGAAGAATGGTCTGCTGTTAAATACTCGTTTGAATATGGGAGAAAAACTTAATACACTTGGACAAAAAGTTAAAGTTGAAGTTGAAAGTGATTCCAATATTGTCTATGTTGGTAATGGAAAAATTACAGAATTTGATAAAAAAGCAGATAACGGTGAGTGAATTATAAAATTTTTTTTTTTAAAAATTTAAATTGTGACTAATTAAATATACATTACTTTATATGAATCAAAGGAATTATTCATGTAATCAATGGAGTGTTGGATACTCCTGTGGACTTATGTAAGTGATATATAACTTTTGATCGACTATTTTTAATTTATTAAATTGATTTTTATATTCTTGTAGATACAACTTTGACTTCTATGGATCAACTTACAGTTTTTTCTGATTATCTTCGTATGAGAAAATTAGATGATTATTTATCAAATGAAAATCATATTACTATATTTGCTCCAACTAATGATGTCATAAAAAATCAATTAAAGTATCATGAAAGAGAGTATTTAATGGGAGAATGTGGTGGAGGTTTAGATGACTTGGATTTGTGGACTAAATATCACTTACATAATGATAGAGTTTTATACTCCGATTCATTTGAAAATGGGAATACAAATGGTTTGAAATTATTCTATTGATTTTTTTTTATAAGAAAAAATAATTTTTATATTAATTTTCCTTTTCATATAGTACCTACGGTACAAGGGGAACCGATAAAGGTTGAAAAAGACGAACAAGGTAACATGCGTGTTGCTGGTGGAAATGTAACTTTTAAAGATTTGTTGGCTGAAAATGGTACTAATTATTTAAATTTTAAACTTTAACTTTCCTTAACGTTATTATTATTAACATACTTTTTACTTTCATAATAGGTGTCATTCACGTTATTACTAATGTTGCAATACCAAAAGCTCTTCATTTCACAACACACAAGTACCTTTGTGGTTTGAAAGCTACAAAATTTGTAGCTTCAATTATAAAACATGGATTACAACATTATATAGAAGGTTCAAATGCATCATATACAATATTAGCGCCAAGAGATGATTCTTTAGATGAAAGTTTAACATTGAGATATCATATTTTAGAAGGGAAATATTTGCCTTCAGATTTAAAAGATGAAATGCTTGTTAAGTCTGAACTTAAAACTGAAGAATTAAGAAATCATAGACAAAGAGCTATTGTAAATTTAGTTCAAAAATGGGATAATAATGATAATGAAAGTATTCAGAGAACTGAAATTCAATTCAATGGGATTGGTGTAGTTGGTGAACCTGTTGAAATCGGAAATGATATTATTTATATATTATCAAATACAATGACACCACCACAACCTATTATAAAAATTCTCAGTAATGATAAACAATTGGCTTCAATGGGCACTTATATTATTATTAATAATATTGTACAGAAGGTTAGATCAGCTAAAGGTATTACAATGATCGCACCGTCTTCGGAAGCGTTTTCACAATTAGGATTAATTAATGCATATTTCTTACTTCATGAAGCAAAAGTTGATTTAAATTCCGTATTATTGCATCATATAATTAATGAAACAATATATAGTGAAGATATAACAGATGAAAAAACATATTATACAATGGGTGGCGATCCAGTTAAAGTTTATAAGAAAGACAATGATATATTTGTTAGTAATGCAAATTATACATCAAAAGTTAGTAGAAAAGATGTATTAACTTCAACAGGAGTATTACATGTACTTGACAAAGTTATATTTCCACCAACGTTACATATAACATTGGGTAAACTACTCAAAGGAATTAATGCTCAAACATTTTTAGAAATTGTTAAAGCGGCCAACTTAACTGACTTAGTACAAGATCCGTTAGAACCATATACAATATTAGCACCAACAGAAGGTGCATTTGAAAAAATTAATGTGACTAAGTTATTAGCAGATCCTGAGTTAGCAAGTAGATGGGCAAGATTGCATATAATACCAAAAAAATTGGATGAATTGAAGAATGGCGACGAAGTACCTACATTATTATCAAATGACGCTATATTAGTTATTAAAAAAGAGTTAGGAGGATCCTATTATAATATCGAAATAAAAGGTTATTGGAGTTTTAAAGAAAAAGCTAAATTGTTAAGTAGCGGTAGAACTTGGAATGGTGGTGCTGTTTATGAAATTGATAAGGTATTATTACCCGAACATGTTCAACAAATTGGTAGAACGTTTTCAGATATCATTATTGGTTTTGTATTATTCGGTTTTCTTGCTATGAGTGGTATTTATAGTTGGCACTTCTGGAATATTTGGAAAAGGGAAAATCAAGGCTATCGAGAAATCGAATCATAATTTTATTACTATTGAGATGCATAAAAATGTAAAAATTATGAACACTACGTCTTGCGTTTGCATCAAATGTTAATAGGTTATTGACATTGGAATTTTTGACATTGAAACGTTTCATTTTGATATTTAAATAATCACGTATTCATCTACACTTTTTATATTAAAACATTAAATAATAATAAATTTTATATTTTGAAATTATGACATCCTAATTTTTTTTTATCATATCGACTTTTTTTTTTGTAAATTTTATTTATTTTATTCATTTTTTTATTATTTTTATTTTTTGTTGTTTTTTTTTTATTAAATTATATTCCGTTACAATAAAATCCTAACCAATATTATTATTAAAGCGTCTTTGTGAATAAGCATATACTTACTTATTAACTTATGCAATAATAAATAAAAAATGTTAACTAATAATCCTGTTTTTTTTTATTAAAGGAAATTTCCTAATTCTTGATTCCTAATCAAATGGCAACCTTCTAAAAGTTCCTTCTCCCATATTTATTTGACTAGCACCAATAGCACTGGGAACTTTAATACCACAACAATCGGGAAATTCTTGACCAAAAGCATGCACATGATTATCGTCACATTCCAAGTCTTGTTCCTTTAATTCACTAGAACTTCCTTCAAAGTATATTAAACTTCCAAACATAAAATGTTGCATTATAGGCAATTTTCCAAGTACTTCTCCTTTATACATTTTAATCATTCCTTCACTAACTTTTTTCCATTCTTTAACTCCTATAAAAAAAAAGTTAGCAAATATCAATTGAATAAAAAATAATATTTTTTAGATTCTTGCCAGATATGTCATCCAACATCGGTGAATTCCAACGAAGAGATGCTGTTTTAACCTATATTAAATAAAAGTAAAATTTTTTTTATTTGGTTAACATTATTCCTCCTATAACTTAATTAAATAATTTAAGTTTGCTTTGTATATACCGAATTTATGAATTTTATACAGGCCAAATACATATATTCTTTAGAAAATTCGTCAACGACATCCTTATCATGAATCGACTTCGGCTTGATATATTTATGCCCTAAAACAAAATAAAAAGAAAGATAAACAAACAAGTCTTTTTTCATTTTATTCGATAAATATATTATTACCTATTAATTGAGCTGATCCAAACATGAATGGTAAAAAGTGATAATCATCTAATCCCCAAACTCCGTGAGACCCAGCCGGTTCAAGCCAATATTTAAATTGAAGGTTTCTCATAACATCTATATATCTTTTTTAAATTAGAAAAATATACTCGATTTTAACAATTTTTTTTTTTTAAAAAAAAAGTATTTATTTTAAATATAATATATTTAATACTAACTTTTGAAAGACTCTTAATACAATAGATGTATAATCATCTGGTCCAATCAAACCCAATTTTTCAAAACATAATCTATAAATATTGAAAAATAACATGAAATAATTTTATTAAATGATTTTTAAATTAAAGATATACTTACAACCAAGCTATGAAATTAGCTTCATGGCCCGTTCCATAATCTATCCTTTTTTGATCTCCCCAGCTTTCCATGAAATATCGTGAAACTTCTTTAACCGCTTCTGGAGGTAACGAAAAGATTTCATGAAGTTCTTCTGCATTCTACAAGTTGGTTAAATAACGAAATGAAATTATTGCCAATTGGAAAAACTTTAACAAATCGATCAAAATAATATTAATTACATTAGCAATCCGACTATAGAAGACTTTGAAAGCCGGATTCCCAAATCTACTCTTTTCATTTTGTACAGGTGGTATCTCTTCACAATAGGTATTCGCTTTATCTAAAAGTTCCAGCATTTTCGACAAAGTCTATATTTATTATAATAATAAATACATAAACTATATTCAATTAAACCTTAAAAAAAAAAAAATGTTAAAACATACCGGAGAAATAAAGCATTCAGTACTTAAAGATAATCCTTTAACTGAATTATTTAACCTCTCAGTAAAACCAACATAATCATTATATGCGTCAGATTCCCGAAATTTTTCGAGATCGTCTTTGGTGAGTATTTGTCGTTTTGGGACCATAAAGGTTAAAGTAGTAGCAGCCATTTCTATATCACAGAAAGAAAGTAACCAGAAATATAAAAAAAGCTTTCATAACAATTATCAATGTGATAAACTGCCGTTTTTTGACTAATCATGACTCAACACATGAGTTAAAGATTATTGGACGATCAATCCTATTAAATAAAGGATGTTTATTTCGCGTTCTTTTCTTTCAAAGTTCAAACAACTTCCTTTTCGCTATTCAAATTGTTTTCACATTTCAAAAATGGCGCAAACCGGTACAAACAGTAATATTAATTGGCCCGCTTCTAAAGTACGTTCTACTTTTATTTCGTACTTTGAATCAAAAGGTCATAAATATATACCTTCCTCCTCAACCATTCCTTTTGAGGATCCTACTTTATTATTTGCTAATTCTGGAATGGCTCAATTTAAATCAATATTTTTGGCTACTGTTGATCCAAGTTCTGACTTTGGTAAACTGAAAAGAGCGACTAACAGTCAAAAATGTATTCGTGCAGGTATAAATTTCAAAATTATATCATTCGTGCAAGATTATGATTTAGATGAATTATTCAGTGTTAATGGAATCCCAATTTAATTCGCAATGTACCATAGGTGGTAAACATAATGATTTAGAAGACGTTGGAAAAGATGTGTATCATCACACATTTTTTGAAATGTTGGGAAATTGGTCATTCGGTGATTATTTTAAGGTGTGAATCAATTTTTAAAGTTAAGATTTTTAATAGAATATAATTATTGTTTGAATTGTTATTTCACTGGGTTGATCTTTGTGTTTAAATTACAATCTTTAGAAAGAGGCTATCATTATGGCATGGGAGCTTTTAACAGAAGTATATGGACTTCCTAAAGAACGCCTTTATGTAACTTATTTTGAGGGTGACGAAAAATTGGGATTACCTGCTGATTTAGAAGCAAAGCAATTATGGTTGGATGTTGGAGTAGAAGAAAAAATGCTGATCCGTGGAAATTCGAAAGATAATTTTTGGGGTAAATTAATTTATCATAGATGTTCTTAAGATATATATTTATAAAATCTCCGTTAATTTGTTATTACATTGGTTGCATAGAAATGGGTGAAACAGGGCCATGTGGACCATGTTCTGAAATTCACTTTGATCGTATCGGTGATCGGGATGCTTCTCATTTGGTTAATAAAGATGATCCAGATGTACTTGAAATCTGGAATCTTGTATTTATGGAATTTAATCGCGAATCGGATGGCTCACTTCGTCCGCTACCTAATAAAAATATTGATACTGGAATGGGATTAGAACGTGTCGTCTCATGTTTGCAAAGTAAACTTTCAAACTATGATACAGACCTTTTCTTGCCCGTATTTAATAAAATACAAGATTTAACTGGTGCTAGACCTTATTCTGGCAAAGTAGGGACAGATGATATAGATGGTATAGATATGGCTTATCGCGTCATTGCAGATCACGTGAGGACTTTGACTTTCGCTATTGCTGATGGTGGTGTACCAAGCAATGAGGGACGTGGTTACGTCTTAAGACGAATTTTAAGACGTGGTGCACGTTACGCTCGTAAGAAATTTAATGTACAAATTGGTCATTTCTTTTCCAACTTAGTTGATACTGTTGTGAATGAAATGGTATGTATTATGAATTTTAAGCTAGATGTAAACATTATAATTAAACTTATTTATTTCAGGGAGAAGTGTTCCCTGAAATAACACAACGTGTCAATGATATTAAAGAAATTCTTGATGAAGAGGAGGAGTCATTCTCTCGAACTTTAGATCGCGGAGAAAAACTTTTTGATACATATCTCCAGAAAGCTAAGCAATCTAATGCTGAGGTACTTCCTGGATCTTATGTATGGCGATTATATGACACATATGGATTCCCTGTTGATTTGACGCGTCTAATGGCTGAGGAAAATGGGCTTAAAGTTGATGAACAAGAATTTTTAAAAGAACAAGAAAAAGCTAAAACATTAAGTCGTAACGCCCGTGCTTCCGGCGGTGACAGTCAGGAAGTTGTTGCATTAGACATGCATGACCTCGCGAAAATTGAAAAAGAGAAAATTGTGTCAATAACTGATGATTCTTTCAAATATCGTACGTATCCAAACAAAAAAATTTATTATACTTAATAATTTATATATAGTATTAAGATCATATTAATTTTTTCAGTAAGCGGCAATATTGACGCTACAGTTAAAGCCATTTTATATAATCATACATTCTCTCGGTCTACGAGTGACATACCTCCTGGTAAAAATTTTGGTATCCTCCTAGATCGCACAAATTTTTATTCGGAACAAGGAGGTCAACAATATGATACCGGCTCTATTACTATTGATGGACAAGCTGAATTCGTAGTTGAAAATGTGCAAATGTTTGGTGGTTATGTCTTGCATATTGGTTATCTTAAATATGGCAACTTAAACGTTAACGATGAAATAATTGCCAATTATGATGAAGTAAGGAACAAATTTAAGTCTCCCTTAATTTTATTAAAAGATATTTATATTTATTTTACTTTTTAGTTAAGACGATGGCCGTTGAGAAATAATCATACTGCTACACATATTCTCAACTATGCGTTACGTGAAGTTCTTGGTAACAATATCGACCAAAAGGGATCTCTTGTTGCCCCAGAAAAATTAAGATTTGATTTTTCATATAAAGTAACAATTTATTATTAATTATTTACGTCATCATTAGAGTAATCAATTAATTTAACTTTCTTAAAATAGAAAAGTGTCACGAACAATGAGCTTGTCAAAATTGAATCAATTTCAAACAAATTTATAAAGAAAAATCAAAAAGTATATTCAAAAGATGTTCCATTACCGGTTGCCAAAGCCATACATGGCCTTCGTGCTGTGTTTGGTGAAGTTTATCCAGATCCTGTAAGGGTTGTATCTATTGGTTACGATGTTGAAGATATTGTAAAAGATGTATCAAGTCCTAAATGGGGAGAAACTTCAATAGAATTTTGTGGCGGAACGTAAGTTTAACAATCTATATACAATTTAAAATGTTATATTTAAAATCCTATATGTAAAAAGGTTTTTTAAAATTTTATTTTCACTTTTGATTAGACATGTAGCAAAAACTGGTGATATCAAGCATTTCACTATTCTGGAAGAATCAGGTATCGCCAAGGGAATTCGTAGAATTGTCGCTGTTACGGGCGAAGAGGCTCAACAGGTTAATTAATATTTACTTTTATTATTTTTTCAATTTTTTAAATTCTCGCAAAAAAAGAAAAATAAAATAAAATAAAATAAATTTTGTAGGCTCAAAGAATTTCTGAAGAATTTCAGACAAAAATTGATTCGATTTCAAAATTAAAAGGTGTAGAACTAGATAATGCGTTAAAGTCGATAACCAAAGAACTTGATGCATCAAATATATCCGCTCTTAAAAAGTCAGAATTCCGTGAGAAAATTCAAGGTCTTAAGAAAGCTTTTGCGGAGGCTGATAAAGCTCAAAAAGCTGCTCAAACAAAAGAGGTTAGTTGAATCTATAATTTATTAATACATTCAATTATTATTTTGAAAGTATTAAAGTATTTAAACTTTTCTAGGCTGTAGACGCGATAAATACATATTTTAATCAAAATCCGGATATTCCATATCTAGTCAAAAAATTGGATGTTGAAACAAAAGCTATCGCAAATGCTATCGCTCATGTTAAGACTAATTTAAAAGACAAAGCTTTATATATTTTCTCGGTTGATGAAAGTTCTGGTAGGATAACTCATTCTTGTTGTGTAGGCAAAATTTTAACTGAAAAAGGGTTAAAAGCTAGTGAATGGGCTAAAACTGTTTCGGAAACCGTTGGGGGAAAGGTAAATTCTGGTTTTTTTATCTTTTGATTTATTAATCTTAAATTATTAATTTAATTTTTTTCTATAGTCTGGAGGTAAAGATGATTCTGCTCAAGGAAGTGGATCAAATATTGATAAACTTGATGAAGCAATAAAGGTTGCTGAACAATTTGCCAAACTTCAAGTTGCGTCATAAAACTTATTTATTAATATAATAATAATAGAGATAATTTATTATATTGTAAAAGAATTAAAAGAATTAAAAGAATTCGAATTGTAAAATAAAATATCTTGCTAATATTTTTTATATGACGGAATTTATACTATTCCGACAATGAAATCAAAATTACGCAGAAATAAATCACTTGATTTAACAGCTCGTTAAAAGATATAAGTTACTATGCTAAATTTGACTTCTTGCCATCACCAGTGATGTTCAATGGACCAATTCTGCAATAAAAATTATTGGAAGTTTTCAATACAAATCTATTGAGGTCTAAACATGATTTAAAAGTTTTTCCATTTGATGGAACTATATATCCACGCATAAACGAAAAATTATAAAGTTAAACCTTCTACAACGTGACAAAGACGACACGTTTGCCTAACGGGAAGTCTTAACAGTACAAATAAAGAAGATTTAATCAATTATGACCATGGTAGTTGGTATAAAAAAAAACGAACAAAACACAATTAAGAAACTAGAAACTAATGCATCAAAAATATATCAGCTCTTCCAAGCAAGCTATGCCAGAATTAAAACGGAACCTATTTCACAGAACGCGTAATTATTACAAGAAGCAACTTCGTTAACGAACACGGAATCTTTCATTTATTAATCAATGTCTTGTAGATTTATAAAAAATATAAAATTTATCAATGTACGTATTCTATAAGGTGGGTTTCATTCTCAGAAAAAAAAAATGTCTTAAGAAAGCTCGCTCAAGCAAAGTAATATATCAACATATTCAAAAATATACCAAAATATTAAAAAGTAATTAATTTAGCCCGGCAAAAATTGGATATTGAAACAAAAGATATATTTTTATATATATTAAAAGAACTGGTAAGATTACTCAAGTCTTAGTTGCGTGGGTAAAATTTCAACTAAAAAAGAAAAAAACGCTTTAAAAGCTAGTTAGGGAAAAGTAAATTCTGTTTGTTCTTAACTTTTTAATTTATTATTAATTACATAGACTGACCGCTCAATGGAACGAACTTAGGAAATAAAGTTTGCTGACAAAACTTCAAGTTACTCATTAATAATATAATAATAATAATAGAGAGATTTATTTATATTATAGTGAACTCAAATTGTTAGAATATCTTGCTAAAACTATACAGCTCGTTAAAAGTAATTTATATGTCAAGTATTACCACAACTTGCAATCTAACTTTTGTTGAAAGTTTTTCCACTGGATGAACCGTGTTTCTCTATCCCTTAAGATTCATTATCAGGATCACCACATTGTCCAATCCAAATATCTGTGGAAGTTTTTCCACTGGATGAACCCAATTTCTCTATTTCTTGGACTACATCCATACCTAAACGAAAAAAAAAGATTAACAAAGAAAGAAAAGGAAACGTCAAGTTAAGGGAAGCTAATTAAAGGACACAAACCGTCTATAACGTGCCCAAAGACTACATGTTTGCCATCTAGCCAGGGAGTCTTAACAGTACAAATAAAGAATTGAGATCCATTGGTATTAGGACCAGCGTTAGCCATGGAAAGGATACCTGGTCCAGTGTGCTTCAAAGTAAAGTTTTCATCGGCAAATTTTTCACCATAGATTGACTTTCCGCCAGTACCATTTCCTTTAGTAAAATCACCCCCTTGAATCATAAATTGAGGTATAACTCGATGGAATTTGCATCCGTTGAAACCATATCCCTTTGCGTGAGTACACAAGGAATAAAAATTTTCCGCTGTAGATTTTGGTTTAAGACAAATTAGAAAGAGATATTTGTTAATGCACAAAATGCGTAATTTTTTTTTTACCTGTTTTTGGAACAACATCCTTCCTAAGTTCAAATGTGATTTTCTAAAAAGAAATAATGCGTTTACTAGAGTGTAAATAGTGTAAATACAAAATAAGCTTAAAGTCAAAAAAATATCTTACACCCATCCACACCCCATCTTTCGAATTATTTATATCCCCCTTATAAACCTGAAAGTAAACTTTTGGATTTGCCATTGTTGACAGAGTTCTAAGAGAAGTAGTTTGTACAGTTCGTATAGCATTAAAAAAAGTAGAAGTGCGTAAAAAACATACACCAACCATTATTGCGAAAAAAAAAAATAATTTTTTTATATAATACTTACAAATTCCTTTTTTTTCGCAAAAAAAAAAAAAAAAAAAAAAAAATCGAGAGGATGATGGATTTTATAGTTTCTGATTATCAAAAAAAGATTACCCGAAATTTTCCGTTTACGTTTGTGAAAATTTTTTTTCGTGGGGCGGTCTGTGTCTAGTTAAAAAAAAAAAGTTTATTTAAGAAATTTTCCCACACAAAGTAACTATATGAAAATTTGTATTACTTTGTTTATGGCACACAAATACAAAAATGAAAAAATGGTGTCAAGTTCACGAGTTATGGTTGGATAAGATGAGCTATCTACATATAATTATTCTTGTTTCCCTGATCTTCTTCAGGTGAAAAAATTACGATACTGATGATACTGATAGAAGTTTCTAGTAATTTGAAACATTGAAAATATAGAATAAACATGCATGACTTTTCTGAAATTAAAACCTGTGCAATACATGTTTTTATAGGATCTGCAATGTGATAAAATTCGTCTATTAAATATATTTAGTCCGAGGAAAGTTATTCATATTGAGATGGTTAAACTTTAAATATGACGGTAGTATATAAACTAATATTAAATAAAGGAATAAAAGAACGTTAATAAAATTTGAGTTATTTAAAAGTAAACAGCCTAAATTGGGGACAAATTTTGAAAATGTTGAATATTTGGTCAATAGAGGATTTAAATTACAATTTATAGAAGACTAAAAGATTTGTTTTATAGGTCACAGAATTGCTGAATTTAAAAAATGCTATTTAAGCGCTAAATATATTGCGTTGTGAATGTTGTGAATTAAGAAAGTAAGTATTTCTTTCAAATAAATAACTAAGTCATGAATGAGACTAATAAATTATGATTGTGGTGTAACCATGTAACGGGTTTTTTTATATATATACAAATAATGGTAAATTAATTACTAATAGGGATTGATCAACAATAATAACATAATATTATATCAAGCAGTAGTATAAATTCTATTCATAAATTCAAATAATATTTCTTCAACGCACATTGCAACCATCATAATAACCATAACCACAACACATAAATATAATTCAACCATAAAACCAAATTTCTTTTTATACCACCAATACATTAAGAAACCAACTGCATTTATAATACAACCTGTTAATAATGAACCAACTATAATTGCTATATTAAATAATTTGGGTTTATTATTATTATCAACTTTATGTAATGATGTTGGGGTTGGATTTTCTATTAAAGGTTTTCCTGATTTCAAATCAGGTAATGAAGACATAATAACAGTTGAAGTGGTAACAGAAGTAAGATAAATTGTTGAAGTTACTGTTGAAGTTTTTGTTAAAATTAAATTTGAACATTCTGATTTTATTAATGGTAATTGTTCAAATGATCCTATTTAAGAAATTTATAATGTAAATATAATGTAAATATATAATATCTGATAATGTATATAAAATATATGTAAATTATTACTATACCTTTATTAATAAATAAAATTAAAAAAATAAATATAAATCCAATTTTTTTATACATAATTTTCGTTTCAACTTTTTTTTCAAAAAGAAAAAAAAGGATTTAGAAAGTTATGTCATGTTTAAATATTCCCTTTTGAATCACAAAATCTTACGTATTACAAACATCAAACTACCATTCGGATTGCTTTTGTTTCTATCAAATGACTACTGTATTAGATCATTATTAATTAAAATCATGTGATTATTTGATTTCACACTCCGCAGAAAATTTTTTTTGTGATGTAATCAATGATTTCTTTGAAACACTCCGTCTTTTTTTTTTTTGATAATCTTCTATTTACGTTTTAGTTTTTTGCCTTTTGGCGTCAAAATATTTCACATGTTGTGGGATATCAATATTCATATCTACTGTTACTCGACTATTCGGCTATATTTATTTAAATGATTGAATCTTTAGTAACTTCTTTAGTTTAAGGACTACTAGTATTATGATTATATTAACTAATCATTTAAAAAATATTAGGTCTTTCAAAAAAAAATACATTTTTTTTATCTTCCTTTAATTACTCTAGGTTCATAATTGACAATGTTTATATGTACGGTAGCAGTTCCGGATGAAAATCATCCTTCCAATCTTAAACTTAAGACTTGATTTTGAACTAAACAAGAATATGAAGAATTGATTTTCTTGATTATGATTGGACTTTTTACAAGAAATCTAGTAGTCTTCACGATGATCTGGGCTAAATAATTTTTGACATAATTCTATAAAGTTTTTTTGGTTACACTATCAATTTAATTTTAATTAATGGGATCAGCACAATTGAACAATCTATCACAAAAAAAGCTTAGATACCGGAATGATTATAATTACGCGTAAATAAATGAGTACTCTATCGCGCCAATATGGTTCAAATATTATCATTTATCGTCTCACAAGGATTTAGCTACTCATATATGCTTCTTCATATAGACATAATGTTACGAATGGCATAAAAAAAAACTTTATTTAAAATATTATCATACTAACTATAACAAATCTTGTAATTATCATAAATTACTAAACCATAAACTTTAATTGATAGCAATAATAATATACACATAATAACTAATAAATCATTTTATTATCTTTAATCTTTTCTATCATTTAATGAGATTATCCAAGCATTCAACTAGATCTGTCGTATCATAACGTGCCTCTTTTGGCATCCCAACAAGTTTCAAAATTCCATCTACAATGACAAAAAATCTGAATGGCCACGGTGCGTACAATTTCAAAAAAGTATCATCCATTGTATCTGACAATACTGGTATTTCTAATTTGGTTTCTTTGACCATTTCGTGTGCAGCGGATAACCGATCAGTCAATGTGCGATGTTCCTTAACAGATACAACGTTACCAATAGGCCAAACATCAGATGCATGTGCTTCTCGAATCTGGATCATGTAAAAATCTATTTGTGTGTTATATCGATTATATATATCATTGAGTACATGTGATATATATCGGAATAAAGGACAAGTATATGATCCACCAAGAAGAACAATTGGTCGTCCCGGTTGACAAAGTGAACGTAATGAAATTATTGTTGGTGATTTGGTATCATCATTAAATGTAAAAGATTTTAATGGAACTAATGAGCAATCAGGTGCCATCATTCCTTCAGTGAGATTTCCAATATTAGCAATATTGTTGCGAACATATACTTGAGTTTTATTAAATTCAGGATCATCTTAATAAAAGAAATTTGATATTAACAACTCTTTTATAACTTATCAGAAAAGTTTGAGAATCGTATGCACTTTCTTTACCTGGATAAAGTTGTGGTGCACGTCGTAATAATTGTACTGCCTCATCTGAATAGCCAAATTCTCTAACTAATTCATGTTGCATTTGGTCTGTAACATCCATCCAGTCTTTGCCAAATGTAGGATCGCTCCCAACTTCATAATACCGTTTTTGTATTTTAGGTGAAAATCTTCGCTTCTCTTCTTCACGTAACAAGGTTAACAAATCTTCTTTCTTGGTTGGAAGTATTGGGGAGATGGTAATATCGGCAGCAGAAAGATCTTTTGGAATTTCCTTTGAATCTTCCTTTGAATCTGAGGGATTCAAAAATACCAGAAAATGATGTTGCACGTTATGAAGCAAATTAGAAATTGCGATACATTCAAAGCACAAATCGTAATCAGGGCACTCTGAACATTTATATCTTTATATAAGGAAAGTAGAATTGTATTAGCAAAAAAAACAAAATTGATTAGCAGTATTTACAGTGGATATTAACCTTGCTCCTTTCCATTCACTCTTACCACAATAATTACAAGCAATACCAGCATGAACTCCATCTTGTAAGCGTTCTTCAATTGTTTGCATGTATTGTGTGAGTGATGGCAATGCATCAAATTCTTTGCGACCACTAGTTTCTTGAAACATCCCACCACGTAGTCTAAGTACAAGATGCAACGTAGACTCTTCTTGAATATTATAATCTGATAAAGTTTTTCCATCCTCCAATTGCTTACCAGCAAAAATAATACGTTGCTGGTCAGGAGGAATGCCTTCTTTTTTCTCGACCTTAGATTTAATCATATCAATAGTGTCGCTTGAATCAAAATCTAGGATAACTGTTTTTCCGGTCAATGTTTTCACAAAAATTTCCCTTTTATACGCTTTATACTGCCGAATTATTGTCAATGACAACGTGGATCCTTCGGTGATACCATAATGTAACAGAGTTTCCCAGTTATTCAAAGTCTTATTAAAAAAAATGAGCTGTTGATTTGCAATTGGGGTGCCTTCCTTATCTCGAACCTTTTGCTTAACCTGACCGATTGTGTCAATTACTTCTACTTCCAGGTCGATTGTTTCTCCGTTAAATATTTTCACATAGATCGTTATTAATTTACATTCTAAATTCAATGTGGACCCTTTTTTGATATTATAATACGACAAGGTATGAGCGTTATATAATTGCCTGCCATCAAAAATAAGACATTGTTGGTCAAGAGGAATGTTTTCTTCACTTTGAATCTTTTGTTTAATCTGTTTGACAGTGTCACTTGTATCTGCTTTCAATTCTAAGGTTTTTCTGGTCTTGGTTATTACAACATGGATTACTGATTTAATTTCTAATTGTAATATGGATTCTTCTCGGATATTATAATATGATAAATTATAATCTTCATACAATTGCATACCGGCAAAAGTAAGGCTTGTAACACGGGGAGGATACCTTCTTTATCTTGAATCTTTTGTTTAATCTGGTCAATAGTATCAATTATCTCTACTTCCAAATCTATTTTTTTTCCATTATTTATTTCACATAGATTATCATTGTTTTACATTCTAAATGTAATGTGGACTCATCTTCGATGTTGTAATCTAACAAGGTGTACTCGTCATACAATTGTCTGTCAGTAAAAATAAGACGTTGATGGTTAAGAGGAATGCCTTTTCTATCCTGGATATTCTGTTTAATTTGGCTGATAGTGTCACTTGTCACTACATTTAATATTATTTCTTCACCGGTCCGTTTGGTTTTCACATAAATTTTTGCTTTAAATTCTAGATACAATGTAGACCATTTTTGAATATTGTAATATGATAAGGTTTCAGAGCCACTTAATTCTTTTTCTGCAAAACTAATTCGTTGTATGCGAGGAGGAACGCCTTTTAAATTCTGAATCATTTCTTTAATCTGTTCGACGGTGTCACTCCAGTTTACTTTTAATTCTATTGTTTTTTCAGTCATTGATTCAACGTATATTGTCATTGAGCTTCTTGGAGTAATTGATAACGAAGGAAGTTTCACACTCGAATTTTCACAATCACTATATATTGCCTCAACTAAATCTCCTTCCTAAGGTTAAGCATGAACAATTCATAGCATACACATAAAAAAAAGAACCCTTTTTAATCAAGCGCAGTCTCGTAAACATTTACAGGACCTAGACAAATACCTTAATTCCTAGCATTTCAAGCGTATCTACAAACTGTATATCCTTTTCAAGGTATATAAGCTTATGATGATTGTGATTATACATACGAGCTTGGAAGTTCCTCAACAATATCTCTCCAGTAGTTTGTGCGGTCACATTTACTACATATACGGAATCTGAAGGACATTTAAGACGGATAGGGAAAATTGGAACAGAGTCAAGCACGGTAGTGAAACGCATTTTAAGAGAATGGTTTGTTCGTTTTTTCGAAAAAGATGAACATATTTAAATGTTTTTCTTTTATAATCTTTCAAATAATAATGACCGTATCTGGAAGGTCATTTGAAATTTTTATGGTAGCATTTATATGCAAAATTTGAGATTATCGTAATCATTTAGCTTTATCAGATTGTACGACAAACACAACTCATTCAACGGTAGAGAAGATTTTGCATCAATGTATATATTTTAACCTTTCAGAAAATGTATTTTGTATTTATATTTTAATAATTATATTTATATATTTTTTTATTTCAAAGACTTATGATATAAGTTTATAAGAAAAATAATACTATTTAATTATAACTATCTATATAGATGGGATTCATGAAAGTTTTAAAAAGATTATAAATCAAAGGAATAGGTAAAAAAATTCTTGTTCAACAAACTTAATTCACATTAGGTTAATAACAAATTCAACAAAAAGAAAGGTATTTATGGTAATCCCGGTTTCTATTTCCTTCAGCATACTACAAATCTATTTTCCAGAATTCTGGATAATTATAATTAAAGGTATTTCCAATATATGCACATTATCTAATCCGTAATTTTATTAGTAAATATTATAAATATAAGAAGAATCTTTTAATAAAATTATATTTAGAACTTGAAATAATGCTATATAACATTTTTAAAATTTGGTAAAATTTATATAATTATTAATTAATTAGTACAATTATCTAGAATTTTATAAATAATTTATATATACAATAAAACGAAAAGAAATTGAAAGAAAATAATTTATAACATATAGTAATATTTTAGAAAATGACCAATAGATATTAAGGATATATAATATTATATAAATTATTACAACATTTTTTTATTTTTCAATTTTTTTTTTTTATTAAATAAAATATGAAAAATAAAAAAAAAAATAATTATATAGTAATTTATTTTTATAAAATATTATAAAAGTGTGAATTTTTGAATTTTTGAATTTTTTAAAATATTACATTATAAGAGTAAATTTATTTCTTATCCTAAATAAGTAATAATACTATTTTTCACAAATTGGCTAATTAATATTATATGGAAAATTTATTTATATTTATATTTCATTTTAATTAGAAAAAAAACTTAACTATTAATAAATAATTAAAAACTAATTTTTTTTCTTTTCTTTTACTTTCTAAATAAATTGAATTATTTATTTTACAATCAACTATAAAAAATTATTATATTAAATAAATTTTAGTTAAAAATAATAAATTTATTATAAATATCTTTACAGAAACTTCAAGTTTTCAAATAATATCATTTTGATATTATTTTGATATCGATTTAATATTGAAATAAAATATTATCATTTCAATATCAAAATAATATTGAAATAGTATCAAAATGATATTAAAATGATAATAGAAATGACATTGAAACAACATATTTAAGTTTAACTTAAAGATGTCATGTCAATGTCATTTTAATTATCATTTCAATATTATTTCAATATTATTTCAATATTAATTTAATATCAATTTAATATTGATAGTATAATATCGAAATGATAATATTTTATTTGATATCACATCAATATTAAATTGATATTAAATTAATATTAAAAAATATTAAGTTTCTGTAAAGATTATCCATAGGCTTAATTTTTTATTTTCTAATTATTTTGTAACTTCCTTTTTATTAGAATTAGATTTGCAATTAATAAGATTATTTAGCTTATTTTATTTGGTTTCAATACTATTTTTTATATTTTACTTCTGAAAATTACACTTTTTCCTATTAAAGAATTTCTTCTTATTCAATTTAAAACTAAAATATTTGTACTATATATCTTCATTATTTTATATAGCTATATTTTAAATATATAGGTAAGTAAATCTGATTGTCTTTAAACTACTCCAAAATATTGGATTCAATTATAGCATTAAAATAATACTTTTGAATATACAGTCAAAGTTCTCTATAGCGAATTTTTATATAGCGAATAATTTGCTATAATGAAGAAAAGTTCAGGTACAGATCTTAGTATTTATAATAAAATGGCTTTTAGTATAGCGAATTTCTTACTATAACGAATTTTAATCTTCAGCCCGTGGGATTCGTTATAGAGAACTTTGACTGTATTCAAAATAACCTATATTATTATTTTTAATGTAGAAAAATTTATTTACCAAAATTAAATATATTATTTCAATATTAAAAAAAGTGAATATTTTCAAGTTTAAAATAAAAATACTTTATCAAAATATTTAAAAGTCTCTCTAAATAGTTTATTTATTATTTTTAGCTATTTTTCTTATAAATCAAAATGCTTTAAAGTGCTATAAATTTTTTGAAAAAAAATAGTTTATGAGATTATCAAAAAGTATTTTAAAAAGAAAATTTAATATAACATTTAAACAAATCTTTTTAATATTTTTTTATGAAGAACTTTTGAATTTTAATTTTAATTTAAAATACTAAAAATATAAAGGGTTTTGTTTTTTATCACACCTGCAATACATTGCACCCTGGGCAAAATTACGTAATGCCAGGCAAAATTAAAACATGTTAAAACATGTGACATTTAATTAGGGTGTGAAAAATAATTTTTTACAGAATACATATAAAAAAATGAAAAGGGGAAGGGTGTGACACAGGTGACAAAAAAAGGTGCGATGCATCGCAGTTGCGTATTAGTTATTTACTAATCTAGTAGTATATAAATGGGTTATCATCCGAAGGATGATGACCCATTTATATACTAAACTAGATCAGTAAATAACTTTTTTATCATCCTGGATATACTAATTGGTCCGCCAGTTTATAACTGGCGGAAAAAATCCTAAATACCAATTAGTAGCCAGGTGATAAAATAAATTATAAAATCCAAATTAATATTCCTTTTAAATTTTAAACTGGAACACTGGAATAGTAAATTAAGACTTGTGAGTTTTATTTAGTAACTAAAATAAATGTACTGTATTTTTTTGAATCCAGTTTGGGCTTGATCTGAAATTTATTATAGCTTAGCTCATAGTATCAAGCTGAGCTGCTGAGCTATAAAATTTGTGGCTTAGCCTGGCTTAGCCTAAGCCAGACTCCTAATAGATTATTTTAATAAGGTCAATAAAGTAAAGTGATACAGGTCAAGGAGGTACGTTAATTATAATGCCAGTCTGACTGTACTTTCATATAGAACGGAATGGATAGTCAATAATGATGATAAACAAGACATTTATGATTTGAAATCCTAATTTTTCTTTTTTATAATTGGATAGTCATTGTCGAATCTCGGATCTTTATTTACTTTAATTGCTGCTTATAAGTTTTAAATTCGGATGTGTTACAAAAGTGTGTTTCCGTTTTATTTTATTTATCTTTTCTTGGCAAATAAATGTATCGGGTTTTATTTGTTTTTACTTAACATTTAACGAACTCATTTACATGATTCGGCAATTTATATTGGCTGCATTTGAAAAATAATTCTTGTCCTACAAATTTTAATTAATTCAAACGCAAATCCTGATTTATCCGTTTAAAATCTAAACAAATAAAAAAAAAAAATTCAATAATTTTATTTTCTTTTACCTATAAAAACGGGTGAAAAAAAAAAAAAAAAATTTCTTTCTTCACATAATTCTTTAAATTTCAATTGTTTTATATCTTATAATATTATTTTTATTATAAAAAAAAATAATAATAATAAAAAATAAGATGTTTTTTAATAAATATTATTATTACATTCTTTATTTCGTTTTCACAATCTTACAAAATAGAATCGTATCAAGTTTTAGCATATCATATAATGAATTGAAAGAAAATCAAATTATCGATTTAATATATTTTCCATGTATTAAATTAAATCGTGATTCACATGCATCAAATACAAATCAATTCTTTTTTAAGAAAAATCAGGCAAATATCTGGTAAATAAAAATAAAATTTTTTTTTATATGTATTCCATTTTAATAATAAATATAATAAATGTTTACGTTTATGACGCAATCAATCTTAAATAAAAATAAAAAAAAAATATAAATAAAAAAAAAATAATAATCGATTTAGTGACGAATCCTTGTTAAAATATTTGAGATTTAATTTAAATAACAACAACTGTCAAGGTATTAAGGTTAATTTATCCAAGAATAAAAGTAAGTAAATTAATATTATTTTATAATAAAATCCATTTTAATTTGATTAGTAATTCCATTTATTTTGATCACTATTTTGATCTAGTTTTAATAGAGAAAGAAAAACATGACGTTATCATGCATAATATTGATGACTCATCATCATCATCATCATCATCAATTACAATCACTTCTTCTTCCACCACCATTTCCACAACTTCATATTCATTCAAAGTTGATAAAAAAATTTCAATGCATGCTTGTAAAGCATTTAACACAATGTGTGATGAAATTCTTACAACAAAATGTTCAAAAAATATGATAAAAATTAATGAATGTTCACAATTATCAACAAATCAATTTACATCAAAATGTTATTGTAAAAATAATAATTATAATGACAATCAAGAAATTATTTCATTCTCAAAAATAATATCAAACATGTTACAATCTAATAATATTAAAATTATTTCGGACAATTGTAGATTTAATTGTTACGATTATAGAAAAGTATGTAATGAAAAATGTAAAAAGCCATTGATTGGTGGTAATTCTAAGAAAATAATTGAAGATAATGGTAAATCGATTATAAATTTTTGTAATTATAATTATCAAGATGATATATATAAAATAAGTTGTATTTGTGATAGTGGAATTCAAAGAACCAATAGAATATTAGATTTTTTTAGATATAGATGTGAATTTGATTGAATTTAGATTCATAGAAAATTTTTTATTTTATTTTTTTATATTATTTTATTTATTATTTTTTTTTGTATAACAAGTGATTTTACCAAGATAAGAAAATATTGTTGTGTCACTTTTTGATTATGTGTAACTCATATCACTTAAACAAGTATGCGTTACGTTTGATTTTTAAAGTTTAGGTTTTATTCAGTTGGGCGTAACAAAATATTTACATGTTCTATCCTAAATACAAAAAATTAAAAAAAATTTGAATTTTAATTCTTCCTTTTTTTTTGTTTGCTATTAAAAATTAATATTATTTGATTGTAATTTACAACCGAAATTATTTACAAAAAAAAAACTTTTTTTTTATATCTAATGAAATGAAGAAATTTTAGCTTTAACTTTTGCTATGATGTTATTTTATATTTTGTAATATTCTATACTAAATAATCAAATCAAATATCTTTTTTTTTGCAAAGGAATTAATAACTTTTACCTTTTTATATTGCTAGAATATTTTAATTAATAATAAAAAAAAAAATAACAGGTTTAAAAATTTTTTTTTCAACCCTTTTAAATCCAACCCATCAATTATGCAGAAACCTTACACGAAAAAAAAAATGTTCATTTTTAAAAAAAAAAAATTTCCCTCCCCCCAAAGAATGTAAATATTAAACCTGATTATGCTGATTATACTTTTGTTCAAGTAAATCCAATTTCTTCCATAAGTCTTCAGCCATTTGTAATGATTTAGGTTTAGGTTCTGAGGAATCATCGATATCCATTCCAACTGCAACGGCTTTTGGACAGTGTGTTAGAATAAATTCGCGAATTTGACTCATTCTAATGATGGCTCGGGAATAAGGAACAGGATTTGGCCAATCGTAAGGTCGAGATATCGGTTTATCTGAAACTGATGTTTCAAATAATCGCCGAATTTCAACGTTTACGTTACTTGGCCTAAGAGGTGTTTCATATTTTTGCAGTTTACATTTTTTTTTCTTTGGGATTTCTGATGTAATTTTTTTTAAAAAAAAATATTTAATATTTTAGTAAATCTAATAATGAGAAGATATTAAAAGATAATAATTGTAAAATAAAAAGAAATACATAAAGAATTCTTCATAATAAAAAGGTTTTTTTTGTTTATTTTACCTTCAACGTCATTGAAATTACGATGAAGATGATTGTTTCCCTTTTTATATTTCCCAATTTCTAAAAAAGATGTAGGCATGAATGGAGAAAGTGTAGAAGGTGTCGTATGTGAAGTCCCATTTTTATATTTCTTAGTAGATTGTCCACTTGCACCGGAAGAAGAGGAGGTTGACGATGAAGGAGAAAGCCTACTGTTCAGTTGACAATCTTCTTCGCTATTAAATAAATAGACGAGGGAAAAAAAAACAGAGGGAAGAGGAAAAAAAACTGCCAAGTTAATACTTAACTATACTCGAGCCATTTTTATCTTTTCAAATAAGAAAACGCCTATAGTAACAAAATTCTTTTTAAAAAGGTACAAAATAATTTAAGGAAAAGATTTTTTTATTAATTACCTCGGGCGAATTTCTGGAATAATTGGATCTGATACACCGGTACATAGTTGACAATAGTAGTCACCATTAAACTCACCACTGTCATTAAGTTTAATCATTACGCATGCTGTATGGTACCATAAATGACAAGTATCGCATTGTATCCAACGACCATCGAAACCTAATAATAATAAATAAATTATTAGTAAAATTTTAGTTTAAAAATAACTTTTTGTTGAAATTGAAAAAATAAATACTTTTTTTTTTTTCTCAAAAAACAAATTGTTCAGATTTTGCAAGATTTAACTTTATACATATAGACAACATAATAATAAAGAATATAAAGAAAAGAATAAAAAGTAAACTTACTTTCTTCCTTCTTACACTTTGCACATAGGTTATTTTTCTTTCGACTTGAATGTTTATTGAAGAAGAGGTCTTGCTCGCTATTTCTTCTTGCCGTACGACCCATTTTTTCTGTCGATATTTGGATGGATGTCTAATATGGGCAACAATTGTAGGTTACCATAGTGTTACCACGGTGTTACCATCAAAAGACCTAACACAAACGACGAAAGACTATTTATGGTCATATTAGGGACGTTTTTTTTTCAGTTTTTTTTTTTCGTCAGCGGGTCAATTTAGTCAAGAGTAGTCTATCAATTGAAAATCACAAACTATCTGAAACTCAATCGTTTATCGGTTGATAATCTGTTGCGTGATATAAAAATTGCGTAACCTAAAGAGTTGCGTAACCATTTTTCAATGCGATCGAACTTAAAAAGTAAAAAACCTCTTTATAAATAGTTTTTTAATTTATAAGTAGAGTCGTCACCGACAATATGACCGATTGTACCCTTATTAAAATCCGAACTAGACTTGAAAAGGAACGATTTAATAAGAATGGCAAGAAAATTTGTGATACTTAGTATTTGCTGTTTGTATTCAAATCATTCATAAAAAAAAAAGCGGGAAAACATTTGAAGGAATGAAATAATGGTCTGTGCGGCTTTATATGTATAATAGGTAATATTATTATTGTTTTTTTTTTCAAAAAAACTGATCGCTTCTTTGATCAACCCATCACGTGATAAGTATATAAAGATCGGCTTGTTTCGCTTGCACATATTAAAATCGAGAGAACCAATCAAATTTCTTAGCATATATTAGGTCGCAGACAAATTTATTTGGCATTCTAAATTTAGTAACTGATTTCTCTGTGAACTGCATAATTGATTGATGCGCATAATACATATGCTCTTTTTGTTATTTATCTATTATTGGAGATAAATTTTCCACAAGGCATTAGAAAATAGAATGTGTTGCAAATAATAAAATCATGAAAAATACATATAAAATTGCAGAAATGAATAGCTTCTATTTACAAAAATTAATTCAAATAATTAATAATGTATAATCAAAATAATAATTATCATCAAACCAACCATTCTAAAGTGAATCCAGGTGGATTCATTGCACCAAATTCAATAAGTCCAGCGGGAGGATTTATAGATCCAAATACAACAAGTCCTGGTGGATTTCGAGTACCAACTCATTTTAATAATGATAAACATAGGAATTCCCTAAGTCAATATCCTCCAGTTAGTACAATTTATCACCCACTATCTGAAGATAATCGAAGGGATTCAATTTCGATTAAAAAACATAATAATCATGTAGATAACAATAATAGCATTAATAATAATTTCGTTCAATCTCCTATTAATATTCCACCTTATTCATCATATCATCCTTCGAATAATAATAATGGTTATCCGTTTCCTACTGATTTCTCAACGAATAATTCCGATAGTTATCCAATTTATTTAGGAAATAATACTAGTTATCCTCCATCACAAAAACAAACATACGATCAAATAACAAATCCTGCGGATTTACAACGAAGATTTTATGGTACTTGTAAAGCATGTGGTATACCTAATTCTGATTTTGCAGAATGTTCTTCTTGTAAAAATTGGATATTACAAATGGAAACGATGATAAAAGCAAGAAAATCTTTGATAGATCAACAATTGTGCACTAAATGTAAATTTGCAATGCATGTTCATAGTCAAATTGCTGCTTGTGCCAAATGTGGATTTCCCAAATCTTGTTTAGAGGAATTAAATAAAATTGCTGTTAGGAAAGAAAATGAAAATGACAATGATAATAATAACAGTAATAATAGTACCGATAAAAAGATTGGTTTGTCTTGTGGAAATTGTAATAATCCGTTGGCAAATTATTTAAAATGTCCTACTTTTACTGAAATTGCTCAAAGAATGAGAAAAGAGAGAGAATGTTTACCTTACGAAGATCCTAATTTCGCTAAGTTATCCAAAATAATTAAGGTACTTTTTAAGTTTATATTATATGAAGTTTACAGGATTATATTTTATATGAAGCCAATTTAATCAATTTTTTTTTTCGCTTATCCTTTTTTTTTTTAGCATTATTCTGATCTTGCGAAACAAGAATCCTGATCTGCGAATGGAAATTTTTTTTATTTATTTGTATTATTATATTTGTATTTATTAAATATATTTCATAATTCATGTATAATTAAATATTATTTAAAATGGGCAATTATTATTGTTTTACTGTATTTCCATTTTAATTGGCTTGTAGTAGATTTGTAATTATTTCGAATACCCCTAAGCCCCTGATCTAGTTAAATTTTGGACATAGTCAGATTTGGATTGATTGTTTCATATATTTCAAGTAAGAATCTTTTAAGAGTGACTATCGAGTAAGATCTTGAAGAATATATGTGCCCCAGATTAATTACTATATAAGGAACGTATCTTTAGTATAGTGCTTGATACCTACCAACAATATTCCGACAGTATTACAGATTCGTAAATTTGGTTTATTATTAGTGCTGGAGGAATTATAATAGCCGGATAATATTCTTAATTACGCGTAAGAGATCCTGACTCAAATAAAATACGCTGATTATTTTAACCCCTAATAAAATTATGAAATTATCGCTAAATCTGTGAATTTTGTAATGGATCATAATTATTGTAAATTTTATAATTTTTTTAACGTTAATCGGGGATTCCCTTACTTTGTGACATATTTTCCCCCAATCATTTGTTACGTATTTACGTGAATCATTGTGTATAAATTAAAATGTAGTATTACATTTAATAAATTGCTTCTTTTTTTACGCAGAATTAAGTTTTTCTTAAGTAAACTCCTTTCATTATTTATCACTCATTATTCATGATGAATTTAACTACGAAGTTATTTTTAATTTTATTATTATTACCCTTCTTTAATGATAATTCATTGGTGACCGGACAGGTTAAAGATATTGGCAGTAAACAAAATGGCAATACCAGATATCTTGCTGGATTATTGACATTATTATTATCATTAATCATATGTTTTTGCTGTTGTCGACATCGTAAATATACTATTATAGGTAATAATATTATACCTGTTAGAAGTTCTCCTGTCAACACTTATACTATGGATACTAGAGCAAATGCTTCGTCTAATTTATCACAAAGCAATCAACCACATCATTTTTCACAACCTATACAACCCCCGCCTCCATACACTGTTATAAATATCACCTCAAGAAGTGGTCCATCACCGGCTGAAATACGTGAAGCTGCTGAAAAATTTACAAGCGATAATCCACCAAAAGATGATTTACCAACTCTTGAACAAATTGCTAATATAAGAACACTTGGAGGTGTAAAAGCATGGCAATTTACTTCCCAAGAAAATTCTTACAGAAGTAAAATAGTATCAGTTACTAATGATGGAAAAAATATTAAATTTTTAAAAAATCTTGATTGTAATATTCAGACAAATTATCCTTATTTTGTTCCTATCATTGAAGGTGATAATAATCTTAATAATCTTAAAGATGTTAGAATATTACATTATTTTGAAATTACTATTATTGAAAATAATGATCCTTATAATGCTGATATTGCTATCGGGTTAACTACAAAACCTTATCCAGAATTTAGATTACCTGGTTTAAATTTATATTCTGTTGGTTATCATTCCGTTAATGGTAAAAAATATAATGATAATGATATAGGTATTGATTATGGTCCTAATTGGACAGAAGTTGGTATTACTATTGGTTGTGGTTATGATTCTAATAATGGTAATGTTTTCTTTACCAAAAATGGCCAATTTTTAGGCAATGCTTTTACTAATTTAAAACATATTTGGTTTCCAACTATTGGTGCTAAAGGTCTTTGTACTATTGAAATCAATTTTGGAGATAATGAATTTTTATATAAAGATGCTAGAGGTTATAATCCTAGTGGGCTTAATGCAAATAGTAATCAGTAAACTTCCTTTTAAAAAAATGATGAATAATTAGTTTTTACAAATAATAATTTAAAAGTAATATTATAATATTTATTTAATTAATTTTAAAAAATATAATAGTTATTATATTAAATAAAGAAAATTGAAATATTTCTAAATTATAAAGCAATTCAAATAATAAAATTTAATATTTTATATTATATTATTATTTAATTTTTTTTAAAAAATATAAATTAAATTATAAAAAACAAAATACAGTTTATTTCTTATATAGTCCAATATGTTAATAGTTAAATTTTAAAATATATTTCAATATAAATTTTATTAAAGTTTTTGATTTTTACAAAAATTTTATATTCTTTCATCACCTTATCAAAATCTTTTTCAAAATCTATTTCTTTAAAAACATATAGAAAAAACTGGTAATAATTACAAAAAGTAGTAATTTTATATAATATATTTTAACATTTATTATAAATATAGTAATATCTCAATTTATGAAATATATGAAGTATTGTATATCACAGGCTACAATACTCTAGGTATCTTGCAAATTTTGGAAGTTTAGTCTTGTATTCTTATTAAGGTTGCCTGCCTAATCCTCTCCAAAATTCTACGATTAGTTTCTCCAAGATTTTACTATAGTTTTATTATGGTTTTAGCAGTTTTGGCATTTATAATAAGTTTCGTCCGGTTTTGCTTTTCTCTAGAGTTTCTCTAACTTTTAATAAGACTTTCATATAGTTTTGGCAAAGTTTTGCTATTTTGGCATTTCACCAACTTGCCAAAACCCCTAGTTTCTTCAGCAACCTTAATTCTTATTATGTAAATTTTTACTATTAATAGAAAGTGTTTAAACTTATAAAATAATTAGGGTAGTCCTACATATTACATCTAAAATATTTGCTAGATTATTTAAATAATAAAATCAATGGAGAATGTGACTTCTTTTTTAAGGAATACTATATATAAAGAGGTACTATGACTTACAATATATGGTAGTATTTATTTTGAAAATATATAATTATTTTCTTTGAATTTTATCATAATATATGTATATATTGAAAGTAATATTTGCAAAAATAATAAGATTATGTATAAGCCTAATAATATTGCAATTAACTCTTTTTTGGTTAATCATAATTTTTTTGTAGCAGATTAGCAGGATTTTATTTTTATTATATTTAATAATATATATATAACTATTACTTTTTAATATCAAAAATTATAGCAATTTTTATTGTATAATAATATATAAGTTTTAATATTATTTTTAGTATTGCTAAATAGCTAAAAAGCATTAATAAATACAAATAATCATTTTTTTTATTGTTAATTAAGAAGTTTTGATTACATTTTAAATTATTTATAAAAAAAAAGTGTGTTTTTATTAATAAATTAAAGGTAAATTTATTTCTTATTTTTTATATAAATATTATATTACCATATATTGCAGACTATAATATCCCCCTCTATATTTAATATCTCTTAAAAAAGAAGTTACATTTTCTATTGATTTTATTATTTAAATAATTCAGCAAATATCTTAGATGTGATATGTAACAATATCCTAATTATTTTATAAGTTTAAACACCCTTTATTAATAGTAAAAATTTGCATAATAGGGGTATAGGATCAAATCTCTGAAATTTGCAAGATATCCAGAATACTGTGATTCACAATTAAGCTTTTATATAGCTACAATTAATTATCAATAAAATTATTAAAGTTAAATATATATATAGTTTTTTAAAATTTTATAATTATCTGAAAATACAATTTTTGAACAATGAGTAATTTTTAATTTTCTAATATATAATTAATAAATGATAATTTTTGTTGCATAATATATAATTTAAACTATTTTGAAAAAAAAATTTTATTAAAATTGCTTTATTTTTCATAAAATTAAATAAGAACTGAATTTTTGGAAAAATTGCAAGTAAATTTGCTTTTAATTGCTTATACTAGTTTAAGAGATAGTAAATAGAAATTTAGTTATTTTTAGAATTTTTTCTTTATATTAATTAGTTCTTTTTTTTATACAAAGTTTTTTCTTTTAAAGGTTACTAACTTTTTGTTTTCTATTTTACTTTTACATTTATAATTTGAAGAAAAGTTTATCTGATTGCTTGAATTCATTTAAATAAAAGCTTAATTATATATTTGATTAGTGATACTATATATTCTTATTTATCCCATTAATAAACCAAATTGCCAGTGAATTTTTTAAAATAAAAAAAAAACAAAAAAAAAAATTTCTATATTTAAAAATTTGAAATTATTATTACTTAGCAATTTGTTTTATTTTTAAATACAAATTAATTGATTTATACTAGATATTTATAATTTCATAATATATATTACATAACTTTATAGAAAAAAATTATATAAAAAAATCTTAATAAATATAATTTTTTTAAAAAAAACATTTAATATAAATATTTTTTCCTATTTTATAAGTTTAAAATATTAAAGTTAATTTTAAATGTTAATTTTAACTATATTTAACAAATTCTATTTTTTTTTGTTTTTTGTTAAATTTAATTTTGCTTAATATTAAATGATTAATAAAGAAAATTTACTTTTTTGAAAATTCATATAAACATCATTTTATATATAAGTTTTTATTGAAATATATTTAAATTTTAATATTTTATTATTATTAAGAATTAATTTTATATTTACTAAAGATTATTAATTTACCAGAAGTAAATTTATAAGATATAAAATTTGGTAAAATCCAATAAAAGTAAATTTCATCTTAATTATAATATATTAAATTTTTTAAATTTTCCAATATTTTACAGTAAATTTTTAGATATTTTTATTTATTTATATTGTATTTTATTATATTTTAATTATATAATAAATTACATTAGATAAATTTTTATTTAAGATGATTTTTATTTCTAATGAATTTTATCTTTGGTGAATTATTTATTATTAAATATTTTTTTTTTTTTAAATATATTAAATTTTAATAGTATTATTTAAAACTTCTTTTAAATAAAAATATATTGAGTATTTTATATTTCATTAAAGTTCACTAGTTTATTAAAATTTTCCTTTTCTTTAGAAATATTTAAATAATTGTTAATTAATTATCTAAATATTTTCTATGAGGATTTTTAAAGTTCAAATGAGGTTGCCTTTTTATATTTTATTTTCATAGTTGTACTAAAAGGAAGTTGGCAACATCATGTCAATTAATTATGCCCAATCAAGAAAGCCAATCTTTCGATCTTTTGATTACAAAATCATTCAATTTTTCGAAGTGCAAATATTGTTGAATATTACCTTTATAGTTTTAATTTTGCTTTACTAATTTTCCACCTAGTAAAAATGACTTATTTCAATAAAAAATTCAAATGAGAAATAATTTAAAAATAATTTATTTAATAGATTTTCCAGTAATAGTTTATTTTTTAAAATATATTGTGTATATGATTCCATGAGTAATATAATACATAACTAAATAACTTTACAATTTATAAAAAATAATGCTATATATTATGATATCATTGTAGTAAACTCTAACATATAATTCGTGAAAAAAACAAGCTATCCTAATTAATAAATAAATCTCATTTTAAAGCATTAATACCAGCGGATTTTAATTCAGGTTTACCATTGATAACTGGTAATTTAAAGAAAACACTAACAAATTCTTGTTTATTGGTTTTCCTTTCACTTGCCTTTTGTCTTTGCCTTTCTTCAATGATTTGCTTTTCTTTTGTTGCTTTAGCATAATCTTTTGAGAATAAAGCAGAACTAACGGGTTGCCAAACTTTTCTTGATTCAAGTGGACCTTGCTGAGAAAGTGGTTTTACTTGCTTTGGAACAGCTTCCAGCTTTTCCATGTCAAGTAATAATCGGGACACCTAATTAATTAAGAGAGTTTAAAGTAAGATATTTATGCGGAATGATATGTAATTTGCTAAAACACTACTACTTACTTTAGTATCACATCTTGTTACATGTACTTGACCTCTCCAACTTCCAGTAATTTCAGCAACGACATTATGATCATTAACATTTTTTAATTTATTAATATCATCATTCTTCGGATCATACTTGAAAATTTTTCCTTCGAAAGCAAACTTTGGTTTACCAAGCCATTTCTACAATATAAAAATTTTTCGATCAACTTTCACGAATTAATCTTAATTATGCGAGAATGCGAATGAAATAATATTTTAATATTTCATACCTCTTCTTTGTATTCAATAATCGCCTTTAACTTAGTCTTAGGACATGTAACAATACAAGATTCACCTACTGCAATATATAATGAAGCTTTTAACCATCCTTGTACCAAAGCAACAGGATGTGTTAATAAATATTCTTCATTATCTCTTTTATCTAAATTAATATAAATTCCTTTATTTTGTTCTCCTGGACCAATTTTAACAGAAGTTCCAGTAAATTTAGCATAAATTTGATCAATTCCGTAAGCTGAAACACCTTTCTCCTCACATTGATAATAAAATGCTGATACAGGAGGATGATGAGAAATTTGTTCATTTATGCAAGTTACTCGATATTTTTGGTTCCCATTTGATATTCCTGATAAATTTGATTCTCTATCATCAATAAAATTTCCTTTATTATCAAAATTTGGAGAAGTTACATCCCAATGACATGAAAATTGTTCACCAAGAATTGAATTATATGGTTTTACCAATTTTCCTTTCTATTAAAAATCGAAGAGAGTAAAAATTTGCATCAAACGAAGAAAGAAGAAAAATAAAAATATGATGAATGATAACTTACCACATATTTTAAGTCTTTGGAAAACCACCAACGAATTGATGCAAGCATTCTTTCTAATGGATCATCTGAATCTCCAATGCTAAAAGAATCAATCAGATCAAAGAAAAAATTAGCATAATCATAATAATTGAGAAAATGAAACCTAAGCAACAATTACCAAACAAAATAATCTGGTCTATCATTATAATTCCAATATTCCAAATTTCCAATAGGCTCAAGGAGCTGTGCAGGAAGTGAAATACGTCTAAAAATTCATTAAAATTAGCGTTAAGATTCTAATAAATAATGACAAATTTCATCATCAATAAATGATACATACAAAGAAACGATATCTTTCACTCCAATAAAATTTTTTAATAAACCAGATAAAGTTTTGAATTTACTCTGATGTTCATCATAATCATTTTCCTCAAGATGAAGTGAAGTTGTTATCCTCCTATGTCTTTCAGAGATAAGATGATCAAGAGTTTTATCATTTATTTCAGTTGAATCTAGATCCATTTCCAATGTTGATAATGATGTATTTTCTGTTGAAATAGTCATAGTTTCGTCTTTAGAACTTCTTGATGAATCTTTAGACGATTCATAATCTGAAGAAACAACTGAATCTAATGTTAATGTCGAATTTGCTGCCATAAATATATTGTAGAAAAATCTGTGTTCAAATTTGATAAAAAAAGAAAATTAATTAACATACAAGATAAATTATAATTTAAATATAAATGACCTTACCTAATAGATTTAATTGATCAGTTTTTATTTCGAAAATGACAAAATATGCTTTTTTTTATTTGTTAAATTTGAAAAAATCAATTTTTCAATTATAAATAATACTTTTTGTATTTAGAAAAATATGTGTAAAGAAACAGTTAAATGCTATAATCGATTATTTTTGAATTAAAAATGAATGTTAAAGGCGGTAAAGAAAAATATTTTACGAAAAAAAAAAAAAAAAAATTAAAAAAATTCTTAAAATTTCATACCAAGAAAAAAATAATTTTATTGTCATTGTATATATATATAAAAAAATTTATGCGATTATTGTAATAAAATTAATTGACCATAAAAAGATAATTTATCATAAATTTTCTGAATAATAATTTACACAAATAAATTACCCGTTTTAAATCAAGTTTTAGACGCACAAAAGTTCATGTAATATGTTACAAATTACTAAGTATGTAAAAGAACCTTAGTTTCACCTGTAATTAATTTATATGATTCTTTATTTTAGAATTGGAGTCGAATTATAGATATATAGTCAACGTTAAATGGCTGATACACAAGTTCAGCTTAAAAGGTTGAAAAATAGAAACCGGGCTTAAAAGCTTTCATGGGATTCAGTCTTTAATTGACAATTTTAGTTGGTCCATTAAATAATACCTGCATCAGCTATAAACTTGTTTCAAAAGTACATTGACGACTGCATAAGTTTCGGAGAACAAATCACCTGATTCGCCCGCGGGAGAAACGTGACTTTTATAGTTATAAATTGTAATTTAATTAAAAACTAATTTTTAATTAATTAGAATCAATTTATTAATATCTAATATTAATTATTTGCATCTTAATAAATGATCTGCAATGACTTTTCGGGACATATTGATAGTTTCTATATTGTTTGTGAGACTAGATTTACTTGTTTTTTCTGCATATAATTAAATAATAAAGTTTGTAGTAAAATTTTATAATTCCTTTATACATTTACAATCTAAATAACAGATTTAAAAATATGAAAGTAAATATTATGACTATAATATTGTAAATATACATTCCTTTATTAATAAATTTTATTATATTTTTTGACCTTACATAAAGAGTAAAGCTAATTTTTATTAATAAATTTAAATATAGTAAATTTATCTAGTCAATACCAAAAGGCATACACTTTACTATAGTATGATAACCATCTGAAAAAAAAAGAATTTCATTATAAAAATCTAATATTACATTGCGATAATGTACTCTCATATACCATACATCCTCAAGCAGTTTACACAAATTTCCAGAATCCAATATATATACAGTGTAAAATTAATATGATTTAATCATCTTAAAATGTACTATCATCTTCAATGACACATTACTAGACTAGCTGTACAAATTCAACGAATTGGAATTGGAGCAATATCATCAAGCAAAATAGATGACAACCACAATATTCAGAAGCTAAAGCATTGATCTTACGTGGAACTAAAAATAAAGAAACTAGAAGTTCTCCTGGATGATCTGTGCATCTTAATATCTTATTATATTCCAGTATCCAAGATTTATTTTCATGCTCAGGCCAAGAGATGAAGCGATGTTCATTGTATAAACATATAAAAACGTTATTTTGCTGGATACCAATATTCCATATTGCGTCAAATAAAAGCTACAATTAGAATAGAATTGAGCCAAGAAAAAGGTATCATATTAATGCTCGTAAAATTTTGACTATTAGATAAATCTAATTATAAACCTTTGTGTCTTTAGATAATATTTAATGTATCTGATATGTAGACCTTCACCCTTTAAAACGACCTAAAACGAAAAATATATTTATTTATGGAATTCTATAATTAATATATAAAGTAAAGCGTACTTTATAAATTTGCGAGGTTGATAATTTCCAAATATATACTTGTGAAACATACAAGTGGTATGATAACTCGATTTAAAATCGGAAAATGAAAGAATCTAAGATTAATGACGTTATATGGACGAATGGAAGATTTCGCCCGTCCCGTTTAACTGAAGAACAAGAATTGTTAGTGGATAAACTAATATTAAAATAAAGAAGTAAAGAACATTTAGAAACTTTGGGTTATTAAACAACCTAAAAGTTATGTTGATTGATGTCGGCCATGTTATTCTAGTGGAAATCCTGTAGTTGATAAATTTTATTCATAAAGGCGATATAACACTCGTCATAAGATTATAGAGAAAGTAAAATATTTGGCTAAGACATGTTTTGGAACTGTTTATAAAGCATTTTGTAAAAGATAAGGACCTATATTAGATGTGAAAACAATAATTGGATGAACAATGATAGAAGTGTTGTTTTGAAATATTTACATAACTCACAAGATAATATAGACGAATTTTTAAGAGAGGTAAAATATCTATTTATCCAAATTTTAATTATATTAGCATTTTAAGCGTTCTAACGTAAAATTTTTTCAGGTTGAATTGTTATTGTGAATGATAATGAGAGTATCAGAGTGAATCGCTGCTATGGTATTACCAAAAATCCAGAAATAAATGAGTATATTATGATAATGGATTGTGGGACAAATGGTAGTTTAAGACAGTATCTAGATAAGAGTTTTATTTCACTTAAGTGGGATCAAAAGTTTGATATTTTGTCTAGTATAGGACGTGGCCTTACATAGCATCCATAAACATGGATTAATTCATCGCGATTTTTATTTTGGAAATATGGATAGTTGATATTAATCAAATGACTTATGTTATCTGATTTGGGATTATATCGACTAATGAATGCTCAAGAACGGAACCATTGCATATAAAATTCCTCAATCAATGTTGGGATGATGACATAGGTGATATGGGGTGTTTATTTATGGGTTATGAGGAGAGAGATTATTTATAAGGAAAATGCTGAGACCTGTATACAAGTTAAATAAGCAGATAAAATTAATAAGGATTTGCCTGCAATTCTATCAAATACTAATATACTACATATACTCAAAGTAGTTTATACAAGTAGACTTTTAGATTTTACAGATCTTCCAGAATCCCAATTTAATCAATTTAAATATTGATTTTGAGGGTATTACATTAATATTGTTTAAATCTTAATTATTTATTAATTAACATATAAAATAACAGATATTAAAAGAAATCAAAAAATTTTCATTTTGTTTTATATTAATAAAATTTATTTGAATAATTTTCATATAAAAAAAGATTATAAAGAGAACCATCAAATTGTACTTTAGTTGACCTTATTTCGAATTATCTTATCATCAAATACTAAATAAATCAGAAATTAGCTGCACAAATCCAAAGCAACATGTTTTCTTTCACAAACAACAGAGTTCAATATTAATCTGCAGAAAACGAATTGGGACGACCCAAGATTTAAAAAATATTTCCTTTCGCCGATACACTACAATATTCAGATCTAAAGCAATGATCTACGTGGAAGCATAGCAGACTGGAATTAACAGGAACTAAAATAAAGAATCATTCTGATCTGTGCATCTTGATCTCTTATTATATTACAATTTCCAAAGGCAATGAACCGATTATCTTCGTACAAACATACCAGACCATCAATTTTATTTTGCTGACAAGCATTTGGAAGACGAGCATACCATAATTACCATATCAATATTCCATACTGCATCAAGCAAAAGTTAAAACGAACCAAGGTCAATTGGAATAGAATTGAGCCAAGAAAAAGGTGTCATCATAATATGGCTCGTAACCTTGGCTATTAGATAAATTATATTGAAATTCTATACTTTTATACTCTTATAATTCAAAGATTGCGTATAAAAGTCAACTTTTTGTATAAAAATTGAGTTAGTTCTGTTAAAACAAAAAAGTACCATAGCACCTGATATCTATTATTCAACTAAAGGTACATCCTATAAAGATGAATTGATAAATATGGTTTGCTTAGAGAATATGGTAGTGGATCATAGAAATCTTATTCAACCATTGGATTTAACATTGCAGAGTGTAACAAATGACAGTATATTGTATTTTTTAATTTTTTATTGACGTAAATACTAATATGTAGATAAAGGAATTATTAGAAGAGTCAGGTAACAAGCTAAAACGGCATATATGATCAAAATTGTTCTTTCAAATTTCAGTCAATGGAAAAAATGAATAATGATCATAGAATTATACCAAAAACTTGATGATACGATGATACAAGATATTGGGAATAGTAATATTAAATTTTAGAAATATGATTAAAACGAAATAAATAAAATATATAAATAATAAAGTTTTGAAATGTGTATAAATTAATGAAGTCGTTATCCGAATCACATGTAACTGCCAAATTATAGCGGGCTACCATTATTTGGAGTCTAATAGTCTAATACTATAGTCCATTAGTCCATATGCCCAAATGTTTCATCAAATCATCACTGATCATATTTCTAGTCGAAATTAAATTACAAATAACTAGACAAGTAAAGTTATTTTATTCTTTAAACTCGTCGCAAAAGAAACAATTCCAATTCATATGTTGACATGTAATTATGTTTAACATGTAATTATAAATGAAGGCATGGTTTAGAATCAAGGTGGCTGTGCATTGCAATAATTTAGAAAGCCACGGGGGCTGCTCATATTTTGTGAATACGTATAGTAATGTTGAATATTGTAATAACAATTGACGGGACATATTGCTCTTTCGCCACGATAATCTTTAAGTACATATTATATAACATGAAACTTGAATGATATGTTTGACATTACTAATGAAAAACGTATTTTCAAAGAGAAAAAAAAGCTTTCCCAAACATGAAATTAAAAACAATACTATTAAATAATATTTATAAGAAATTTGAATTTCAATTTTTAGTTTCATTAATATTATTAAGCAATTATAATGGTACTTCCGCAAAAAGTGAAGATAATGGAGGATCTCGATGGGTATTTTGGACATATGGGGCGAACGGGGAACGACAATGTGCAAATTTATGTATTCTTTTTATATTAATTTTAATCTTATCCTTAATTATTTGTTGCGGTTGGAGTATTTGGTATTATAGTAATAAAACGAAATCAGATAAAGGTGAAAGTAGAACTCGTGTTTTAATGTTAATTGAAGAAGCTAAAAATAATCTACCTAAAGAAGAATTACCATCTTCAGAACATATTGCTGAGATACAAAGTTTTGGAGGAGCAAGAGCATGGGTATGGGAATCCGATACATTAGATCAAAAAGTTTTAATTCATGGGGAAAGAGAATTTATTGAATTTTTAGATAATATGGATACCAGTATACAAACCAATTATCCTTGTTTTGTGCCCGTTTTTGAAGAAGGGGAAGGAGTTATTGTTGAAGGTGAACAAATTAGATATTCTGAAACGATGTTTGTACAACCTCTAAAAACACCACATAGAAAATTACATTATTACGAAATGACAATATTAAAATATACGGATCCTGACAACACTAATAATATTGCTATTGGTTTAGCCACTAAACCTTACTTTCATAATAGATTACCTGGTTTAAATTTATATTCTGTTGGTTATCATTCTATAAACGGTCAAAAATTTAATAATGATAATATTGGGAATGAATACGGACCTGATTGGACAAAAGTTGAGGACACTGTTGGTTGCGGGTATTATTCTGATAGTGGGGAAGTTTTCTTCACTAAGAATGGAAAATTTTTGGGTAACGCTTTTACCAACATAAAGCATATTTGGTTTCCAACAATTGGCGCTAGTAGTCCTTGTATGGTCGAAATTAATTTTGGAGATAATCCTGATAATGAATTTAAATACAAAGAAGCCATAGGTTATGGCCCTGGTGGGCCCATTCTATTAAGTAAGAGAAGAAGTTTAAAAAGTCGTGGTAGCATTAAAGGTTCGCCCAGTGAAAGCAAGACATAAATGAGAGATCAGCAATGGGTCATGTGACATTTTTTTCGAAGTTCGATATCTTAATAAAATTACTTTATTCAATAGAAATTGTAATATACTGTAAATACATATAAAATAATAATATAAAAATAAATTTACATTTATGATATTTATACTGTATAAAAAAAAAAAATCCGATTTACTGATTTCTTTTTTTTTTTTCATTATTTCTTATTTTTTCTAACTTCTTCCATAGAATCAAAACTTTCTCTTCTAGAACTACTTTTCACATGATTTAATTCCATAGGAGGAGGTGATAATTTACTATGACCAGGTGCGTAATTTGTATAATTGCCATCCAAATAATTTTGGGTATAATTAAAATCATTTTTGGGAGTAGAATAATATGTTGGAGAATTATAATATGATGAATTATATGGTGTTGCAACGGGAGGAGGATAATATGGTGAAGTAGTAGAATCTGAATTATAACTATTGGTATCATTTTCATCAGCTTCAATTTTATTTATTTTATCAGTCCTATTTCTTTTCCTTATTCTGTAGCATCTCCAAATTCCGCATCCAATAATAAATAAAATAATTGTTGGTACCAATGCAGCTGTAAGGATACATAAATTACCACAAGAACGTTGTCCATTTCCACCGGAATAAAAAAATACCCATGAAGATGATTTTGAAGAATGATTTCCTGATGGATATGAAGATTTATCACTTGACGAGACTTTATTTTTACTAACATCGACATCACCTCCACTACTCCCACCTTTACTTCCCCCACTTTTTCCTCCTTTTCCACCTCCTTTACTAAGTACTAGATCATTGGAAACTATTAAATAAAAGAGAATTGATATTATAAAATATCTTTTAAACTTTCTTGCATATTTATTTAAAAAAATAATTTCCATTATATCCGGTACGTTCGTCTTAAAATTCTACTATTATAAATATTTTCTTAAAACCTTATAAAAATAAAAAATTAAATTTTATTTTCCTTTTTCTTTTTTTTGTTAAAAAAAAGCAAAGAAAAAAAAATAGAAAGTTAGCAATTGTAATTTATCTAGGAAATATTATAATACTTTACAAATTTCTATAAACTATTGTTCATTTTTATCATTCTGCGTGTGATACAATAAATAAATATTTGATATAAATAATACACTTACTTTGTAAATTTTACAGATATTACAATTTTACAATCTTATATTTTTGTCTATAATTTTGATTACAGTATATATATGTTTATTTACAGTATATATATGTCTTTATTGTAATACTGTTTATTTACCCAGAATTCTACCAAAGAACCCAAAGAATGTTCTGTCAATCATCTACTCCTAATTCGTACTGAAACGCAAATAGAATTTTCCTTGCTTAAATTCTACAATATTAAAATTTTTTTTCAATTCTGAATCGAATATTCCAAAATATTCTAGAATTCAAGAGTATTACACGGGAATCTTATAAATTGACGACGAATATTTTTATGTACAGTTTCTTTTGTAATTTTCATTGTTGACTTCATTTGTAAAATTGATTATTTTATAATTATTTACCGTGAAGAGGAATTAATTAAACGGAATGGTCCGTATTGTTTGCCTTCTTAAGATATTAATACAATATTTATCGCAATTGGATCAGCAATGGCATTGGTAATCTAGTGTTACATGATTTGTACACGTTACAACAATGGGCGAAATTGCCTGACTGTATTGACAATAATAAAGTTTATTGTAAATTATTAATTTGGCAAGTTATTGACAATCTACTTTATTAATTTCGGGTCAGTTAATACTGTATATGTTAATATGTTTAATTACATGGTTGTGATTATGATGGTATTTGTTTATAATACAATTATGAAACAAATGATATGATATGATTTTTATCCCCGATCTTTAACCATTTATCAATGAATTATTGTATTACTTCCAGTAATTTATAATCATAATTAACGTTTCACTGATTGAACAATATTAATTAAATTGCGGAGTTCCCGGCGGTTGGAGTCTGGAGTCCTAAGAACCGGGTTCTCCAACAAATAATACGTGACATAATTATAATACCACAGATCAGAGTATGTGGTACAATCTTTAATTCCGGATAAATCCTTTTTAAATGCAAGAAGCAAAAAAAAAATAGGTATATATATTTTTTTCATCTTTTCATTTTTTTTTAAAAAAAATTATGAATAATATTTACGATTCTTCGTCAACAAAGTGATTTTCTTTGAATTCGGGAAAACTGTCTTAATACACAATACGATTTCAACTTACACCCTTCTATTTAAGTAAAAAACTCCGAGACCACTCGGAGAGCAAGAAGTTAAAATCCCTAGATAATTTATAGAAGAGATAAGAGCGTTAACAAAATTTTTTCTGGACGAAATCATCACTTATATCGAAAAAAAATTCCATTATGAACCAAAGGAAGTAAAAGACTTATTTGAAGTCCTCGCGAAAAATTGCAGAGGAAATCCGTGGACCCGAAAAAAAATTTAATTTTATTCATTATATATTCAAATAATAATAATATTATTATTAATATTTGATTTAAATGATTTTCTTTAACTTCTTCAGCATTACATCTCAAGTCATAAATTCGCATTGTGCTATTTAACATCCATTTTCTGCTGCTTTATTATACCAATAAATAGCTTTTTCAAGTATTTTTTCAGTATCCTCACCCTTTTCATAATTTTATGCAATATTATATTCTTTTTCAGCAACCATTATGTACTTTTTCTTTATTAGTATCAGTTCCAATTCCTTTATCATAACATCTCTATATTTTTGTTCAGCTGATCTTTGATATAATTCTTTATTCCGCGTCATTTTATTTCCTTTTTTGCTGATTTTTGGAAAATAACGAAAGGCCTTTGCTTAATTTTAATTCATAAAAAACAATCTCCAAATAAATAAAATAAATATTGAAACAATAAACCAAAATTTTATAATCATTAAATGCTTTATTTTCATCCTTTCAACACCTTTACCCAATTTAAGATAAAGCCTCCATTTTTAGGTTGTCCAATAATACTTCGGTACTTTGGCTTTTCAATACCAATTAAATTCCAAATTTTATCTTGTTTAGTTCCATAACCATCATTATAACATTTGTCAACACAAAATTATGCGATTGAATAGTTTTTAGTTGCTGCCTTTGTAAATGCTTCGTCTTCATTACATTTTGATTCAATATTATAATTATGAAATAATTCAAGAAACCAAACATATTATGGTATTTTATCCGTAACTTGTTTTAATTTGAATACTTTTTGATTGATAATATACTTAGTGTTCCGATCCGTAATCTGGCCAATCCGGATTAAATTCAGATATCCGCATCCTACATTTTTAGGCGGATGGGTCCATTTGTGAATCCGGATGGCAATCCTAGGATTTTGATTCGGATTATTTATAAAATATATATATATATATATCATTCTCAATTTTCAGTTTTTCACCATTTGAAAATTTTTTCATGAGCCATATCAATTGAGGAAATTCATAATAATTAATTTATCAACAATTATATTAATGAAGTTATTGAAGTTATTGAAATAAATCTACTGGTAGATCATTAATATATTTGGGTATCTGGCACTTCATTTATTAGTAAATATTTTTTCTTGAACTGATTCAATCTCAGTATCTGATTGAATATATTTTTTACCAATAAACTTGCTTTCCAATGCATCATTTATAATAGATTAAGGAAGCTTGAACCACTTGGTATGTTCAGAAGATTCAGAAAATCAAATATTTGATATTTCAAAAATCAATACAGTCAACTCTGGATATAACGAACCCTCCGTTCCAGGAGGTTTAGTTCAGTATATAGTGAATTCGTTATATAATATACCGAACTAGTTTTCTTTATAGGTAATTTAGGCCAAATTTGTAATGCTGGCCAAAATTATAATTTCTTTTAACATAAATTTTTGAAAAAATTACTAGTAATTCTGGCCAGCACTATAAAATTGGCCTGGACTACTATATAGTCACATGACCGTTCGTTATAGAAAGTATAAAGTTATTATATAGCTGATATATAGGGGCTGGTTAAGTTTGGTTCGGATGTGTTATATAGTGTTTTATTATAAAAGTTCGTTATATCCAGTGAAATTATTTATAAAAAATCGGTTCTGGAAATTATGATTCGGTATAGTGAGGTTTCGGTACAAACAGGTTCGTTATAACCAGAGTCGACTGTATAATCAAATCAAGTATTAAACATCATTAACCTTGGATATACTTTTAGAGCTAGATCTAAATTATAATCTTCATTACATAAAGATTTACGGCCAGTTGAAATCTGCCATAAATATATTATCTACATGCTATATTTTCGAATTAATGTTTTCTTTAACATCAACCCAACTCCTCTTATTCTCTTCCTCTCTCTCTTCCCCCTTCAATTACTGCTTTCATTTCATATCATAATTTGCATATGTTGATTTTAAATGATCTGAATAATTATAAATATTCAAAATTTCGTCGTCCTCTTCAAATAGTTTACCGGCTTCTTTCCACTCTTTCAATGTAGTTAAATTAATATCTTTCTTGAAAGGTTCCCTCATTCCAGGCTTTTACAAAAATTCTAAAGCCCTTTGGTGTCATAAAGCTTGCATATTGATAAGGTTCTTTTTCATATTTTATACACAAGCTGATCGCGCCACACAAGTCACAAATTTGTCAGAAGATCTGTGGCAGTTGGAGTCCTGAATACGAGGTAATAGGTGATGAAAGCACGTGGGCGCAATCAAGATAATGTGATTATTTTTCAATACTGGATGGACTGTCAAAGCAAAAATGTAAGACTATTGGCTTCAATTAGCTAGTCGTAGATTTAAAATTACATAAGCCCTGTTCATTTTTAGATCGTATTGGATTGACCGAAAAAATGTATAATCAATCAGATCATAGTTACAATTGAGCACAATTTTTAATTGATCGGATTGGTTATATATCCATAATAGCTTATAGGGCAAAAAACACGTAGTTGTTGTTTATTATGTTTATTATAATATCGATCAGGGAAAAACACCAATTTTTGTAGATCGGCTTGACTGACCGCTAACCGCATCAGTAACCAATTATTTTGGGGTACAAATTTGCAGTCAATCCAGTCCGATCTAGAAATGAACAGGGTTATAATTTAACTATAGGTAAAGTAGATACAAAACCATTGATCTGTAATTTATGTACTTAAATTTTGATAAGTCCAAACGCTGTTACCCTATAAAAAATATGTATACGGTTTTTATACTGTATATACGTATTTTTGATACAATTTGCATTTTTACATACGGCATATCAGTATAATGTATACTGTTCGCAAAATGTGCTTAGTAAAAAATACAATAAAGTATACGGTAAACATACTGTGTGATACGGTATATTAAATTCATACGTCTATAACGTATATCATTTCTACTGTATAT